TGCTATAGCGGTTTTTTAGCAGTTTACCATGTTATGTCTGAACAGAGCTTGGGAAGACATAATCAAAAATGTAACTTTATCAGAATGTATATTCAAATGTAAACTAACCCGGTGGTTCTGTTGTATCGATATAGACGGATGCACCAACTGCTACATCAAACCAGCAGCCTTATATAGCCACAGGACAGGAGGCAGCTACGGTAATTAATTCATTTCAAACTTCTATCATGAAGGAAGGGTAAATTATCCCTGTGGTATATAGCAGAACCCCTTACTAGTTTCGCTCTGTTTTGTGGGATGCACATCAGCCAATTTGCTGGGAACTTGGGAAGGGTACATGCACACATATGGTATCGATCGTTGAAAATAGTATGATAGATGCATTCATCCTAGCAAAAAGAAATTCATTCAAATGCAACACAGACATTCTTTCAAGTTTTTCATGAGGATGATATATACAGGTTTAAAATCTAATGAAATTTTTTGTTGAATTTGTCAATTTGATGTCAAAACTCAGCAAAGCAATCGTGCATGAAGGTAATAGAAGCGAGACCAATCAGTGTGTCCCCGCACCTCAGTGATGTGGCCTCAATATCAGTTAATATTGACTATGTGCGATAGGGAGATTATCATGAGGCTAGTTTGTAGTGTATTGATGGAACAGCACATTAACTAGTACACTCTACCCCCTTCCCCCCCCCCCCCACCCCCCCACCCTCTCTTATCAGGGATTCCATTCTAACAAGTCTATGTTTACAAATATAAGTTGGGGAGGCAGTGGACGGGTGTATTACATGTCTGATAATATAATTGATTTTTTTTTTAAAGTCATATCATATCTATTTGTTTTCCTTCGATATACATTGGCATTGGTTTGTTCTATCTTTAAGTGATTGTTTTAATGACTAGCATTGTACATTTATGTACTATTTTTATGTCATTATAACCGTTTTATAAAGCCCAATTGCAAATTGACATTGCTTTGCCATAGTTTTTTTGCATTTGGCATTTCTTCTCAAACAGTGGACCTCCATTTCAAGAAGCTTGTAATTTTTTTGATTCTATGTTCAGTATTATTATCTGAAAGATAAATGGAATATTACTGTATCTTGGCATTGTTATGAATCATTATTCATTATCTTGCCCTTTGAAAGACATATGTTCAAGTGTTTATCTAACAATGCTTGTTTGATATTGGGCTCTGGCTTTCTTTCAGCAGTGATTTAGGTTTAATATGTAAGGGTTAAGTGTTGCCATCAGGTTTTATTTTAGGTTTAGGTTTAGGATTAGATATTGTAGGTTTCAAACTATTGCAAGAGCATGTGTTATAAAATCATTATTTAAAGTTTTTATAAAACAACTTGAGACTATCAAACTGTGAAAGTACTATGAGCGTTAAAGTGTATTAGCGAATACTTTAGAAATTACACGCTCTCTTGTGCGTACGTGTTATTTTTATTTTTGCTTCATTGTTTGTTATTTCAGGTCTATGGCCATCGGAATGTAGAAAATGAGCCTGGATACTTTTGAGCACAGAAGGTAAGAACATAGGTCAAAATGTAGGTTGTCATATTTATTAAATACCGTTATCCATGTGTCTTATACTTAAAAAACAACAAACCCCAATCCCTTTAAATATTTGATCTTGGAATCCATTGTAGATTGAAGAAAGAAAAATATTATTATGTTTCCGGTAAGCATATCCATCCATGTTGTAGCCAAATAAACAATGAACACTATAAGATTTGGTTCTGTGTAAATTCAATAGCAATATTAAATCTACTGCAAATGCGGAATTTTCTACTGGTCATATGAAATATCAATCAATCAAAAATCATATCAATTGTAGATCAGTTTTTTAAATGAATCTCATTTTTATGAATTAAATGTGTTGAATTTTCAAAGCGATAAGGCTTTTCTTTTATATTCACATACGTTTCTTTCCCGTTTCTCCAGTGTTCTTTTCAGATTGCAGCATCTCATCATAAAGGAGCTTCTATGAAGTGTAAAAGGAGATGTATTCAAACGCCCAATTATGTAGTACAGCTGATGTTTTCACATGGACAGCGTATAATATGCATCTCTCTTGGAAGAACGTCGTACTCCTGCCATATTTTTAAAATATGGATTGCTATAACGGACAGTACCTTTTATTAATAATATTTATACATTTGTAATGCATATTTTATATCTATATTTGTAATGAAATTTAAATGTTTCATCAATGCAATGTCTGATAGATTGTACAATTCCATGTTATACCAAAGAGCTTCCATATTAATGAATTGATTTGAATTTGGAATGTGAAGAATTTAGATATCTTATTCTTCTACATGTATGTATCTAAAAAAAAATGGCGATAATTTGAATTACAACTGTACTTCAAATGTAAATATCTTTGCACATTAAATACAAAAGAGGAAAAATTGGACTCTTTTGACTGCAAAACTGATATTTCAGACATTATACAACTCAAGGGAATAGAAACAGATCAGCTCCCTCCCTCTCCCTCCTTCTCTTGCTCTCTCTATTTCTCTCTCTCTCTCACTTTCTCTCTCTCTCTCACTTTCCCACTTTCATTGCTTCTTATCGTAAATATTGTTTCTATTTCTAAGAGTTAAAATACATTTTGTTGGGGTTGCTTCATGTACATGTATACTATGAAGTCATTTGGAAAATCAAATTTCTATACAACACACCATTATCGTGGTGGAAAATAACACTGACAAACAGTATTTACATTTGGGACTGGAAATTGATTTAAATAGATCATACATGAGCTAATGAAACAGATAGGCCCTGCAGAACAATCTGTGTTGACTACGATAGTGATAGCAAGGCAGCATTTTGGAGTTTAGAGAGAATCTAATCACCCCCAAGTATATCAATGTAAAATGTTCAATTGTTTATGCCAGTTGTTGTTTGTATGGAAAAGGGTTCCTTTAGGAGGCATTTAGCTCAAGAAATAGCGTTCATGCAATGGTCTTCACAGTACTGAACCTTTCAGTTGAATTTCATGTCTTTCATCCTTCGTGTGTGAAATGCCAAAACAAAGCTTATGCAGATCATTTAGCACAACTTCAAGGTGCTTAAAACCATTAATGAATAATTTCAGCTTTCAGATTACTGGAAATGTTATGATGCTATTTGTCTTTCAATGGAGATTTTTAAATAATTCTAGAATAAAATTATGCAATCCTCAGTGTGCTTTTCTTGTAGAATTTTAATCATGTACTTTCTTCATTCTTTTTACATAATACTAATTGTATATTAACATTAATTATTTTGCGCTAAACTTTCTCAATTCCAATGATTTTCTTGTACTTGTAGAGTGTGTGTGAGATCCGACACAGAGTAATTTTTATATCACTCCAGCAGATGCATGCATGCACACATTTTTTTGAAAGAACTTAGGGCTATGTTATATAGGTTCGAAAGTAACAACAAAATGAATATAAAATGTGTATATTTAGGAAGTTAAATCTACATTCGTCTTTCACATTTAAAAAGAATAGTTATATAAAAACTTGTTATGTGTGCTGTCATACTAATGCTGTTACTGTAATTGTCTTTGATACTTTTTAAACAAAACATTTGTATGTTTTACTTTTTTAAATCTTCCTTTTTTATGTAACTTAAAATTATATTTTTTATGTTTTACAATTTCTACCTGATGTTACATGTATATTTTTCACATTTGACCTGAGAGGTATTTAATGGATATTTTATTATTGAAAAAATGAAAGACTGTATGCTAGTGACTATTTTTTCTACCACATTGTTCTTGAAGATATATTTTGTATTATTCCTATTTTATCTGGTTCTCTGGGAAGGTTCGGTAATTTCTCATTTGATTTATATTTTTTATCTCTTGGCAATGTTTTATAAACTGTCTGTTTCAGAAGGACATGTCATTTCTTGTGTGAAATAATTATGTATTTGTTGAGGCAGACTGCCATGAATAAATCAGATTATGAATGAGATCAAATATACAAGAGTATTTTAGGGATTAAGGGAAAGAGACGACATGGAATTAGAAAGAAGAGATGAAGGGGGAGACAGAAGAGATATTAAAAAAAAAATGAGAGAGGGAAGTAGAGAGAAGAGATGGAGAGAGAGAGAGAGAGAGAGAAGAGGTCGGGGGAGACAAAAGAGATGGAAGTAGAGGTGGAGACTCGGAGAAGAGATGGAAAGAAAGAGAGAAGAGATGGAAAGAAGAGGTGGAGGGAGACAAAATTAGAGATGAGAGTAGAGAGAAGATATGGAAGTAGAAAGAAGAGGTAGAGAGTGAATTTAAGGACAGGGAGAGGAGAGGGGGAAGAGATGGAAGTGGAGGGAGAGAGAAGAGATTGACGGAAAAGAGAAGAGCTGATGGAAGTAGAAAGAGGAGGTGAAAGGATCGAGACAGAAGAGATGGAGGGAGACTGCAATGAGAACAGATTTAGAGATATAGAAGAGATGGAGGGAGAGAGGACTCGGATCGAGAGATGCAGAGAGGGAGAATAAAATGATCCTGGTGGACTGATGGAAGGAGAGAGAGGGATGAGGGGAATAATAGCCTATATATAGGTTAAAAGGGGAGATACGACAAATAATGCAGCTAAGTTTTGTGAGTGAGAAGCGAATTAAGAGATTAGTATGAGTGAAGTATAGCGGCGGGGAGAGAAAAGGGCTTCCATTTAATTTGTTTAATGCAACTTGAGTTCGGCGTAAATATTCATAAATGAATGATATAGGGTCTACTCCAATAAAACTAAAACAACAACAACAACACAACGGGGAGGGGGAGGGGGGGGGGGTGATGATGAGCGGCCGCGCCGACGATCGAGACTTCGATCGAGAGAGTATATTATTTTGTAAAGAGCTAAAGATAGGGAAACGATTTTAGATGCATCTAAAATCGTAGGTTATGGTGATCAACTGATCATAATATCTTGCCGGCGATCGAGACTTCGATCGAGAGAGTATATTATTTTGTAAAGAGCTAAAGATAGGGAAACGATTTTAGATGCATCTAAAATCGTAGGTTATGGTGATCAACTGATCATAATATCTTGCAATATAAGAGCATGTAGACTAGGTCCATGATAAGAGGGGGATAAGAGAGACGACAAATTTATTCACATATCGGGATGAATGTAGATCTATTAACTATTATTATGATGGCGTCGCATCGAGATCGAGAAAGCACGTGAAATTTGCAGCTCAGCCTCTTCTCCCGCCAAGCTTAAACTTCGCTTCTGTAATCAGGCGACCGAGCGTTCTTCTTCTTTTTCTTCTTCTTCTTCTTCTTCTTCTTCAAGATAATCTGCCTCTGCATTTTCAGTAAGTCAGGCCTCTTTTACATGTTACACGTATCAAGTGTTTTTGACGGATTTGTAATCATGTAGCAATGATGAATAGACCTCTATTCATTAAATTGTGTAGAACGGCATGTAAAATATGTCCAAATATTAACTTTGCAGTACATTGCCCCATGTATTGGATTCCATGTTGTAGACTAGTTTTGTTTTTATTGTAGGATAATTAATGGGCAACTTAGTCAGTTGCAGTGGCGTACGCAGGATTTTTTCAAGGGGGGGGGGGGGAGGGGGGGGGGGGGGTAAGGTCACCTTTTTGAGGTCAGCCATTGGCATTTTTTTATTTTTTTTATTTAAAAAAAAAAAAATCAAAAGGGGGGGGGGGGGTTTCCTAAAAAACATACATAAAACATACACATAAAAAAAGTCAAGGGGGGGGGGTTTAACCACAACCCCCCCCCCCCCCCCCTGCATACGCGCCTGGTCAGTTGGAAGTTGGAACATTATTATTAACTGGTTCCTATTTTCATTTTTTTTTAAGAAATGCAATCTAGATAAACATGGTTTACAGTTAAACCTCTTTCACACCGGATCTGCGTAGACTTGCGTAGTGTGGCGTACCGACTACGACGAAATTGGGCTGCATATTCATGAAAAAAAAGGTGCTTCGGCGTAGTCCCTGCGTAGGTTATGCGTAGGCTGGCATACGATGGCCTATGGTTACGTTCCCTGTGCATAGGCGTCGCATACCTAAAAATGTTGCTTCGGCGTAGGGTTGCGTACATTTACGTAGGCCTGGCGTACAGGTTTGCTAACGGTTGCATACGGTTGCTTACTGTGTGAGCAAGCTTTTACTGCTTCGTCGGACTGGCGTATGGTAGCGTACTGTTGTGTAGACTTGGATATAGTAGCGTAGTGTCTAGATCTACGCCAAAGGTACGCGAAAAAAATAAACATGTTTAATCCATCTCGCGTACCCATTTGCGTCTGTCAGCGTACAGTTGCGTACGATCGGCGCAGTCGGTACGCAACACTACGCAACTCTACGCAATGCCCGATGTGAAAGCCCTTTTAGACCTCATGCATTGTAGGAGTTTTAGTTAATATTAGTGATGTTCTTGTATATTTATTTAACATTTTCTATGGAGTATGGACTGGGTTTGTGATGTGATGCAATTATGTAAGGGATAGAAATCTACTTGCCCCACAGAAAATGATTATAATTTGTAGACTAGATCAATGTTTGATTCATCCTAACTATCTCTACTTTCCTGTGGAGTATCCTTGTAGTTGTAAAAGATCTAGAAGCTGGTAGTCTACATGTAATTGTAGATTATTTTAGGATCGGCACAAATATTTATGGCCACTAATTGAGGGACTCTTATGTCGTTTTAACTGGCAAAGACTATTCATGTTTACCGTCAAATTTATTTTAGGTCTCAGTCTAAGGTCTTATTTTTACAGTAAGGCCCGTTCAGATATGACAAAGTAAACTGTTGCAAAAAAACCCTGCCCTTTTTTTATTTAAAGGTAAAGACCAGTATTGGAAACGCCCCAGTTTCAAAAAATGAAATGGAAGCTCTCATTACCAGTCATGTGAAAGAATATGTTTTGACTAATACATGATGATAAAAAATTTGCCGGGAAACCACCTACTAATTCATATATTTGGTAAATTTGTTTCTCTCATGGTCTGTGAGAGATATAGGGTAGTCCCATATATATCTTTCTGTGTATAGTGCTTGTAACATTACGAAGAATGGGCCAAATTTCTTATCATTTTGATGATTCCAGAACCTTGCAGATGCTAGATGCTAGATGATCAACCTTTTCTGATCGATTCCACAACGTTTCTTTCACAATGCAATCGCATGACCATAACTGGTCTTTACCTTTAAGTGTTATTGAAATGGCAACTGCGCACATGAAAGGTCCTTGCTGAGCATATTGACTGAGATTTTTCCTATAAGATATTGAAATGTTACATGTATTACACATGACGACATAAAAAAACCGCTGCAGTTTTGCTGCTTCATGTCTGAACAAGGCCTTAGTCGACCAATCAACCTACAGAAATGAAATACTTGTTCCCTTCTGCTTTAATGCTAATGCTGCATATTCCAGAATTTTAACATGCAACATGCATTATAGGGACTGTCTGGCTTATTTCCTTGTCTCTGTTGTATTTGAATGAACAGAAAGTCATCTGATATCTAGACATCTTCACCAAGACTCCTTGATCAATTTTCAACATGGCAGACGAGGAAGATGACCTCTGCTCGCCGAGTAGGACGTCCTCTAGACTCAAAGCCAGAAAGGCCTTTGAAATGCCAACCAGAGAAGATGTTCTGGGAAAGATCGAAGTGGACAAGACCCCTCAAAAGAGCTTCCAACACCTCAGGCCTCGAAAACTGATTTCTAATTTTGTGAAGGGGTAAGTTTCTGATGGAATGATGTTGACATTTATCATGTTGATGGGAAAATTTGAGAAAATCAGTTTGAAAGTGACTCAATGATGTTTATTACTAGTATAATTAATGACATCTCAAAGTGAGAAAGAAATTGGAACTCATTTACTATCTTAAAAAGAGAAAATACATGAGGTTTTGAAAACAAAATGTTGACAGAAGTAACTTCAGATCGATGCATTTTCCCATAGGGAAAAGTTGTCCCGTACATCACGTGTCCCGTGCGTCACATACACACATTTATGTTTTGATATATTATGTGACAACGAAAGGTCTGAAAAATATGGTATTAATTGTGATTAATGCTTGATTCCATAATGAATTAAGATATCGTTACCATAAATCTCATAACTTAATAAATTCAGAGAACTTTTATGATGAACTTATTTTTGAAAAAGTCAGATATTCTCTGGTCCCGTACGTCACGCGTCACATTAATTACATTAAAATTAATTACATTAAAATTAATTTAAGAATTGGTCAGAACTAAAACTTTCCACAAATGAACTAGCCCATAATAGCCACAGACTCATACCAAAAGATAGCCATATAAATAATTTCGTCCGTTGTAATTTCTTGTTTAAAGTCTCTGAATGTCCTGTACGTCACAATCCAAATAGCTTGGACCTGCCCAACAACGTCAATCTAATACCAAACATACTATGCCAGTAATTTAACATTGATTGATATTAGACATTTTAAAATAGCTTCATATTGCAGTCATATGGTAAAGTTGATTTGGGATTTTAGAATGACGTTTCTGCAGTACAATTGTAAAGGAATTCAAACTGTTGTTTCTTGTACTATTTCCCCCATCTATTGCAGCCATAATAAATACAACAATACTGACCCAATTTCTCTGTGGGATGATGATGCTATGTCAGATTTCATTGCTGATGACGAGAAAGAAGAGGAGGAAGAGGAAGATACTTCTGAATCAAAATCATTAGAAAGTTGTGACGATGAGGAAGATGACAGTAATAATGATGATAGTGATGATGATGATGATGATAACATTGAGGATTTAAAGTCATCAAAATCTGAGAGAAGGACAGCAAGCATTAAAAGAAAAGCAAGACAGGATAGAAATATCACATCAAATGGAAAAAGAAATAGCAGAAATGACTCAAAGAGGAGATCAAAGATGACCAAAACACAACAACAACCTGAAAGAAGGAGATACCAAAGAAAAGTGAAGAAAAGTAAGCAGATGGAAGATAAGGATAGTGGTAATGAGCATGAGAGTAATGAAGAAGATTGGCCGGTTCAAAGTAGCCAGCAACAGAGGAGAAGGAGAAGGAGATTAACCATTGATAGTAGTGAAGAAGGAGAAGAAGAAAAAGATGATGATGATAATGATGATGATGACGATATGATTCAGAAATCCAGAAATGCCTCAGGAAAGAAGAAGACATGTAGTGATGAAGAGGAAAGCAGTGGTGATGATGGAATGATCCAAAAATCTACAAACACCCCTAGAAGGAGAAGGAGATCAAAGATTGAAAGTAGTAATGAAGATGATAACAGTGATGATGATGATGGTGATGATGACGAGGTTATCCAGAAATCTAGAAGTACCCCAGGAAAGAGAAGGAGATCAAAGATTGAAAGTAGTAATGAAGATGAAGACAGTGATGATGATGATGATGATGATGGTGATGATGACGAGGTTATCCAGAAATGTAGAAGTACCCCAGGAAAGAGAAGGGGATCAAAGATTGAAAGTAGTAATGAAGATGATAACAGTGATGATGATGATGATGATGGTGATGATGACGAGGTTATCCAGAAATGTAGAAGTACCCCAGGAAAGAGAGGGGGATCAAAGATTGAAAGTAGTAATGAAGATGATAGCAGTGATGATGATGATGAAATTATCCAAAAATCTAGAAGTACCCCAGGAAAGAGAAGGAGATCAAAGATTGAAAGTAGTAATGAAGATGATAGCAGTGATGATGATGATGAAATTATCCAAAAATCTAGAAGAACCCCAGGAAAGAGAAGGAGATCAAAGATTGAAAGTAGTAATGAAGATGATAGCAGTGATGATGATGATGAAATTATCCAAAAATCTAGAAGTACCCAAGGAAAGAGAAGGAGATCAAAGATTGAAAGTAGTAATGAAGATGATAACAGTGATAATGAAAGTATCCAGAAATCTAGAAGCACCCCAGGAAAGAGAAGGAGATCAAAGAGAATAAGATAAAGAGGAAAGCAGTGATGATGAATGATGATGTTGATATGATAGTGATTAGAACAAAACAAATGGTCTCATGAGTAGATCTGTGAAAATTCCTTATCATTTATATGCCTTACACGTGTTTCCAAATGGCATTAGTAAGACAAACCACAAAATATTTTTTTTGTAATGCTTTAATGTGTGTCAGACTGTGTGGGAGTGGAAGTTGAGATATTTTGTAAATGTTGTTTTATACAAACATGATGTATATGTATTTTCAAATGAGCATAAAACATGCAAGTGACATACATGTAAATGAATTGATGTGCATTGTGCAGAAACTGCGCCCTAACCTTGATAGCAAAAGAAAGCAGAATAGAATAGGAGGAACAGACTGTCTACAGTTTGAACAAAATCAGATGGGCAACTAGAATAATAATAATTAGCTTTTATATAGCGATTAATGCAATGTCTCTTTATAGCGCTTGGTAAAATTTACACTTCTATTATGTTAGGTAACCTCAAATTTGTGAATTGAGCTGTGTTGTCATTGGGGACAACTCTCCCCTTTGTTGCACTCTGAAATATTAGATTTCATTCTCTGCAAACTACCTTTCCTTTGGGTATTTTCCAGGATCATCAACATATGTTTTAGATAGCATGTGGATTTAGGTCCTTGTACAAAGAAAAATACATGCTAAGGTATTTTACATGTGGCTTGAAATAGTGGTTCTGTTCATTTTTAGCAGCATTCTGAAATATCTATGCTATTGTCTCCTTTTAATATTCATATTAATGAATTTTGTTCATTGTTTTATTTAAATTAAGTATTTTTAATTATTTGCAATATGAGAAAATCAAGAACACATTTAGGTACAATACATTTCTCTATATTTGTTCATGTTCATGAGGAAGCTTAGTAATGCCTGTGAATTCAGCACGAAAAGGTAGACATTAGAAGATTAAAAACCGTATAATGGCTGATGGATCTTTTAATACGCATCGGACAATAATATAACAATGAACAAGCTTAATTCTGTGCTTATAATAATATATTTATAAGCTAACAAGTGTGGTCAGTAGGCGTGGTGCCCTATGCTCATTTATCATGAATTCTAACAATTCAAACCTTATTATTATTGTTAACAATTGTTATGATTATAATCATTTTGCAGAATATAAAGAATTAAAGTAATACTAGGCTTTAGAAAGATATGCTGTGAGATAAAATGTGTTAGAAGCTACTGGTATCTGAAATTCTGAATGATGTATGATACCAACACTTTTTAAGGTATGACAGAAGTTTGATATACAGGGATGCCAGTTTTCAGGCAAAAGCCTGAATTCAGGCCTTTGCGAGTTATTTTCAGGCCATAGTTTAGGCTTTTTGGTGTAAAAATTGCTAACTCTAGGTGATTTTCAGGCCCTCTGATCAATTCTAACTGGCATCCCAGGATACATTGTATATATATTACTACACTCCAATGTGTTTCTTGAAAGATTTATTGATACTCATTTGTTTCATCTCTCTCTCTCTCTCTCTCTCTCATTCCCCCAATCCCCCCCCCCCCTCTCTCTCTCTCCGTCTCTCTCTCTCTCTCTCTGTTTCTCTCTCTCTTTATTTCTATATGTATAAATAATGTTCAAATTCTGTAAATAGTTTTGTATTACAGTACGACATTTTTATTTCTTGCCCATTGATGTACATGTATGAGACGGTTTGGAAAGAAACATCTGTGTAAATAAAACCAGATTCCTGTACAAATATCAAATATGTGTGGCCAGTTTGTGCATTTGTAGTTAAGTACAGGAATTTAAGATAATTTAATCGGAGGAATGTGTTCAACCACTTTGGTAATTGTTTATAGACTAACTCTGGGCATTTCGGAACAAATTTGATAGTGTTTGATATCATATTTGTGTGCAGGCACATGTTTGATTCACTGATCTGTGTTTAAATTAATATCTTGAGTTTAAACAATGTGTAAACGCAGAATCACCTTCAATTGATGTGGTCAAAACACACATGTACAGTAGGTGGTGAAGTGGTAAGACATAAGAGGGGACAAGAGTAGGGAGAGAGAGAGATAGAGGGGAGAGGATGAGAAAGAGAAGAGTTCGTAATTTTGTGATTGATTTTACTACATTTTTACTACAAGAGCACATACATTAAAAGATATAAAGGAAGGTGGAGGGGATAGAGCAAGTAAAGCTTGTATTGTGACGTCATAATGGCATTATGGAGTTTGCATTATCGTAATAGAGGCGATGTTAAAGGCAAACTCGTTTCATAGCTGTAGATATTGCAGTAACGTTAATACGTACGTTATGACATTAATTTTGGATGTTGGACAACTACCCATTGGAAGGAACATTAACCTTTGCTTCTCATTCATGAAATTTAAGAAGGAAAAACATGTTTTGAAGTATCTTGTACACAAATATCATTGTGAGCAAGAAGAGAAAGAAATGCACAAAGAAATTGTTTATTACTCACAGTATTTTTAATGTTTCCAAACAGAATACACATGTACAATTTTGTGGAAACTAAACTGTAATTTTACAAATACAATTAAGAAGAAGTAAGTAATGATGCATATAGTAGCATAAGTAGAAGTACAAGTTGTCGTCTTTGATGCCGCAACGACAGCTCTAGAATTAGACTTGAAAGGAAAACCGGTCTAGTTAGATGCTAATAAAGCGATAAAAAAAACAATACTTTACAGCAACAAAAATGTAATAAAATCAAGAACAGACATGTAGTTTCTGAAGTCTGGTTGTTATGTGATTCTTTTTTTATAAATATGTACAAATGTTGCTTTCAGTTACTTTTTATATGTTATTTCACGGTATAATGTACACTACCAATGGTGTGCTTGGTGTACCCGGAGATGTGCATCTTCTAACGTTAGGTGTATCATAATTTCAGTATAGCATGATATTGTTGAGTCAACGCAATCCGACGGTGACCAAATTAAGACAAAATCGTGAGAGATGTCAGTTTCTTTAAAATGCTAATAAAAATAACAAAATTGCAGATAATTGAGTTGCCCCAAACAAGAACACTGTAGGTTGAGCCAGTGGTATATACACATGCAAGGTCTTAAAAAAAAAAGATGTTGTATTGCCCTTTAGGTGCCAAAACATGGGTCCGTCGGTCGGAAATGTTTTGTTTTTTTAAACCTTTTTTTTTTTTTTTTTTCCCCTCCATCTTTGAGCTGATTTCTCAGTTTTGAATGCTTTAATATTTTACTTCTCTAAAAATCGGGAAAAAAAACCAAACTTTTTTAAAAAGCCGACCGTAGATTTCAAGATTTTGGGGTCGGTCGCAATACAACATCTTTTTTTTGTAGGCCTAACGATACGACCACCAGTCGGGCGGATGACCCAGTCACTCGGACTTTATTGAAATACATAGTACCGAAGTAACATGTATACGTTTTTTTAAAGGAAATCTAAGAAGTAGCCATTTGAGGAGATTCTGGCGTCGATCCATTTTGTGTTGGCGATTCAGCATTTCCGGTAGCCTCGTTCAAATGCCTCTTTTCGTGGAGGCGCATATGCGCGCTCTGAATGAACGTCGCGTTGCAGAACCTACAGGTGTACGGTCGTACTCGGGAATGTGTGCGCTCATGAATGCGTAGATGGCTACTCTGCATGAATGCCTTGTCACAGAGATGACACTTGTAGGGTCGCATCCCCGTGTGTATCCGCTCGTGCATGTGTAGGTGGCTACTCTGGCGGAATGTCTTCGGGCAGAAGCGACACGAGAATGGACGCACCTGGGTGTGGATGAGTTCGTGTTGTCTCAGATGGCTACTTTGCGTGAAACGTTTTGCGCAGATCGTACACGCATAAGGTCTGTCTTGGTTGTGAAGACGCATATGAACATGTAAGTTGTTGAGTTTTGAGAACACTTTGCCACAAAGGCTACACTTATGGTCGAGGACTTGCAGGTTGCTGTTATGCGTCTGATAGTGTTTATCCAAACTGGATAGCTGGCGAAAGACGTCCCCACAGATTAAACATAAATGGGCGGTTCTACATCCGGCCGCGCCTCCTTTCTGTGTTGGGGGACGTCGTACATAGGAATGGACATTGAAATCTGCCTTGGGACCAATAGATGACGACTGACCATCTGATGAGTTCATCCCACCCCGTGAATTATGTCTTTTGACATGCTCTTGAAGAAGTCTTTCGTTTATGAAGGACTGGTGGCATACCTGACACTCGTGATCTCCGCTCATCTGTGCACTTTGTCTCTGTCGCATCAAGGTTTCGTGTACCTCGACATGGCGTACAAGGGCATCCACGTTGTCAAAGACATCACCGCACTCCATACAGGATACATTGCCTAGGTTTCTAGCCACACTTGGTGTCTGACTAGGATTTGCTCCTGGTGAGCTATCTTCCACTGTTTCCATGTCATCGGATCCTTGATAGATGTCATCAGATCCGTACTGCTCGGCCTCATGTTGCTGAACATGCTTCAGGAGAAGATCAATGTTGGCAAAGGTCACACCACACTCGACGCAACAACAATTCTCTTCCGCTGTTGGCTGTTTCTGCTCTGGTGGCTGAGGATAATACCCCTCGCTTTCTTGCCCCTCTCGCTTAGTTTGGTAGCAAAATACCCGAGAAGCATGAGTAGCGTCACTGGTGTCGTCAGAACACCCTTGGTTCAAGGGGAAAGAATCAGATGCATCACCGACTTGGAATGAGCTGGAGTTTTCCGCTGAAGAAGCCTCACTTGCTGATGCCTCTGCTCCACCCGTACCTCTGTCGCTCTGATCCAAGTCGCTAAATGGGATATCCGCGGTGTTTGAGAAAAACTCCTGAGATCCCACTTCAACCCTTGATTGATTCTCGGGTGTTTCGCTGTCTCCAGAAGCTCCAACACATCCCTTAACGTCGCGCCTATCGTCCATGCTGGCAATACGTTATGTGTCTCCTACTGATTTAGAGATGAACCTAAGAGAACGAAATGAGAGACATAGTTCGTTGTCAGCTGAAACATCGTGAGAAATACAACAAAAAATATAGAATAACGTTTCTTTAACGCTTGTCTTGCCAATATTGTCTAACGACTCCTTTCGAGCATTTCAACTTTTAACCAAATAATAATGACGGCAATAAAAACTCTAAGTTGTGTTCGAATCTCAAAATAATTAACGGTGAAGTTCAAAAAAGAAGACCATCCCCAGCCACACCCCCTCCTATTACATGATAATGCTTATCGCCTTGTATTAGTTGGTGGCGATGATGATGTTGATGATAATGATGGTGAAAGTGGTCAAGATGATGACGATTAAGATGATGGGGGTGATGATGATTATTATATTATGATGTTCAGGCGCGTACGCAGGATTTTTTCAGGGGGGGGGGTTTAACATTTATAAATCGGGACGAAAATTTCGCAACGACTCAGCCAGCCGCTGAATAAACGGGGGGGGGGGGGGGGGGGTAAGAGGACACTTTTTTTTTTTTTTTTTTTTTTTTTTGGTCTCGAAATTTGAAAAATTGACATTTGGCTCCGTTGGGAGGGGGGGGGGGGTAAGGTCACCTTGTTAGGTCAGCCATGGGAATATTTTTTTTTTTTTTAATAATTTAAAAAAAAAAAAATACCAAAGAGGGGGTTTAACCCCCCAAACACCCCCCCCCCCCCCCCCCCTGTGTACGCGCCTGATGATGTTGATTGAGATGGTAGAGATGATGCACCTGATGACAGTCGTGATAATGATGATGATAAAGACGACAATAATGATGTGATCATGATGATGGTGACGATTGTGATGATGCCGATGATGATTGTGATAATGGTGATTAATATGGTGATGACGATTATGACGATATTGATGATTAAGATGGTAGTGATAATGATGATGAATCTATTAATAATGATGAAGATGATGACGATGATGGTGACTATAATTTTAATAATGTGACACTGATGATTAAGATGGTGGTGATGATAATGGTGGTGGCTATGACGATGATGATGACGATGTAATTATCAGGATGAGGAATAGGACGATTATTATCAAACGCAGGGAGATGACTGTAATTAGCTCTCGCCCCTATCTACTTTATCATTTCCAATAAACTCCACGAAAAGTTGCTCTTCACACCTCTTTCATAATTTTGCTCCTGTAACACGATTTGATGGCTTGGAAAAAATGAGAGAACAAGCAAAATCTGTTCTCTTTTCTTTTTCTTTTTCAGTAACAATATGCAATGGCAAGGTTGATGATTTTAACGATTTCGTTATAAATTCGTCGCCTAAGATAGCGATGCCGCCCGAATTTTTTGAATTTCAAAACAGGAACCTCCTGGCCCCATCCTCAACTTAATATATCTGCCTCGTGATAATGGTGGCATTGGCGATTAAATAATAAATGGTCATATAACTCATATTAACATGTGGATATTTGGTGTCAAAAATCGCCCCCCCCCCCTCCCTCGAATGAAAAAAAAACTAGACAAAAGTATAAAGGGTTGTATATAGACTGTATACAAAAAGAAGATGATTGACGATAGTACATTAGAAACAAGTCATCACAATCGGAAAACTTATCACCCGGCCAGTACCAATATTGATCGAAGGTCCGAGAATAAACCGTCATATGCTGCATGGGAAGAACCCCCCCCCCCCCCCCCCCCCCACCACCACCACCACCACACACACACACACACACACGCAACCCCACAATGAAACATACACCGCTTGATGTATCAGGGACGGCCAACGACTATTTTTAATCATATTTTGGGAAATGAAAAAGGTGGTTATACACTCTTGATGTTGAGACCCCCCCCCCCCCCTCTTTCTCTCTCTCTCTCTCTCCCTCCTTCCCCTTTCTGATTAGATCCGCGCTATCCACCCCCGGTTTCCACCCTCCAACTCATAATCTCCGATTACTTTTTATGCCTCCGCCACCGAAGGTGGTGCCGGAGGCATCATGTTTTCAGGTTGTCCGTCCGTATGTCCGTACGTCCGTCCCGTTTGACCGTTATCACAATATCTCAAGAACCATTTAAGATTTAAACTTAAGACTCGGGAATAGTATTTATCACCATAGGAAGACGATCTGATTAGATTTTGGAGTACGTAGGTCAAAGGTCACAGGTCACAGAGGTCAACTTATGAAATTCCTTGTATTGAGTTTGTTAGCGCGATATCTCAAGAACCATTTGAGATTTAAACTTCAAACTTAAGGATAGTATGTATCACCATAGGAAGACGATCTGATTAGATTTTGGAGCACGTATGTCAAAGGTCAAGGGTCACAGAGGTCAACTTATGAAATTCCATACATTGAGATTGTTATCATGATATCTCAAGAACCACTGGAGATTTAAACTTCAAACTTAGTGATAGTGTGTATCACTATAGGAAAACAATCTGATTACATTTTGGAGCACGTAGGTCAAAGGTCAAGGGTCATAGAGGTCAACTTATGAAATTCCATACATTGAGATTGTTATCATATCTCAAGAACCACTGGAGATTTAAACTTCAAACTTAATGATAGTGTGTATCACCATAGGAAGACAATCTGATTAGATTTTGGAGCACGTAGGTCAAAGGTCAAGGGTCACAGAGGTCAACTTATGAAATTCCATACATTGAGATCGTTATCGCGATATCTCAAGAACCACTGGAGAATTTTCACTTAAAACTTAATGATAGTATGTATCACCATATCATAATATCTCAAGAACCACTGGAGATTTAAACTTCAAACTTAATGATAGTGTGTATCACCATAGGAAGACAATCTGATTAGATTTTGGAGCACGTAGGTCAAAGGTCAAGGGTCACAGAGGTCAACTTATGAAATTCCATACATTGAGATTGTTATCATGATATCTCAAGAACCACTGGAGATTTAAACTCCAAACTTGTTTAAATTGCTCTATGGCGGAGGCATCATTTTCGACTGCGCGCAGTCAAAATTCCATCTAGTTTTTTCTAACACTATAATATTTTAAAAGAATATAATAAACCCATAAATATATATTTCGGCTACTGACTCTACTTAATTAGAACCTTCTGGCTGCAAATACTGACAATATTACAATTATGGCAAGCATTTTATTTCGAGAACAAAATATTAGGCATAAATCATGACGAGGCAGCAAAATCATACCATGCAAACATCAGAATACAATGCCGGGTCATTTTGAAAGTACTTACCTGATGATAATGGGTCTGAAGTACAAAACGTGCATTCACCATCGACTGAATATGATGTAACAGGAAAAGTGCGCGGAGTCACTAAATCATGGCTTGCTCTTCATCAAATAATATATTATTTGATATCCAACACCTGCGATCACCGTGAAATAAACTTCTCTTTCGAAAATTGTTCTTCTTCTGAAATCACGATATGTTATTCAAGGAGAAGGAAATAGTTGGAAGAGACTTGGGTATGAAATGGTCGGCTTATATTACTCGCTGTGTGAAACAGAACGAATATACCTCTGGCGGGAACAAAATCATAGCGCGTGTACTCGAATAGAGAACAACGATGATAATAATGACGATGTTGTGTGTTCGCGATGACAAAGACACATGGAAATACTGTGGGGAGAATGATACAAGCTGCCTATAGCCAGTACACTGTCATATGCATGCAGTTGCGTTATATATTATGAGCCGTGTGTTCCACGCAGCTTGGCCTTGCTTCAAATGATTTTAACGACGGTGTGGGCTATAAATAGCAAGCTTGATGATAGCGATGATAATGATGATGATGATGATAATGGCTGTGAGTCACGGAAGTAGGCGCCCGCTTGGCGGCGGCGAATGCAGCAAGCGAGGCCGGGTGGTAAAGCGGGGAAAGTTAAAGGATGAGGGTATTATGTCGGTGGATTGATTATTTTGTTAAAATAATAACCAAGGTGTATTACATAGATTTTTAAAATGTACATTGATTATCATCATTATCAATATAGGCTATGATATTAACGTAATATAAAACGGTTGATCATAGAGTGGATTACCGGCATTTTTTCTTCTCCGGAGTACTTCATCTCTAGGCTCTAGGCTTATCTGTTCTCTAAGAAAGAATTATATCCCTAGATTGATCAGCATCGAAATATAGGTCTGCCTGAGATATTTTGTGTATAATTCCTGGTGTAATCTCCGATGAAACGCGTAATTGTGTCTGTCACCCTCTCCCCTTCTCTCTTAGTCTCTGAGTTTAAACTCACACCTCCCTGCTCATATCTCTCTCTCTCTCTCCCTCTCTCTCTATGTATGCCATGATATACAGCGCAGATTTGAATAACGGACAGTTTATCTAGATCTAACAATTCATATAGCCCCCCCCCCCCCCCTCATATACACACGCAAGTATACACCCAAAATATATGTTTATAAAACTCTGTCCAGTTTGAATTTGAGAGTTAATAGGCGTACTCACTGGAAATTTATAAGTCAAAGTCCTTTCGGTCAGCACGACTATTATGTATAAAGCCTATGGGAAGGACAAGTAAAATTAAATCGTATAGGTTCTCGGCAGTTTTTTTTTTCTTCTCAGAAAGGAGGTGGATGGGTGTAAACAAGGAGGATATTACGTATTTGGTTTGTCATTGACCCCATATTCACCATGCTGACGATGAATTCAATACATTTTGAGCAATACAAAATAATGTTTGGATGAAAATTCCATTTGCCCATGCCTACAGAATCTTTAAAAAAACATTTGTCAACGATGATTTTTGTTAAATCGTAGATCATTTGTCCTTTGTTTCATATCAAATAAAAAAATATCAACAAAAAGGAGGAGAAAAAAACTGACAAGGGGGGGGGGGGCGTGGGATTCACTGAACGTCCTTTCTATACGATCATGTTTAGACAGACAAGAATACTAGCCGATATGTGCATGTAGGCCTGGCTATAACTAGAATACTTGACAGTCAACAGTGCGCTTTGTACTTGGTTTCTCGTGCGTGTGCCTTTAATTCGATAATGACGATGCTGATGATGATGACTATGCCGAGGCTTAACGACGATTGCCTTGCCAAGCGATGATTGATGATAATGGCGCGGGTTGCCAGGCAACGGACTTATCGCCTGCGCCATACCACAATAATGGATCATTAGGCTCCGTATCAGGGTAGAGGAAAGGGGATTTTTCATACACCCCCTCTAAAATCAGTTTCAGTTCAGTTTATTCAAAAAACACCAGAAAAGCAATCATGACGAACAAACGTGATCCAAATTGGAACCCCAAAGAGCTATGCTTGTGAGTGGGGCCCCTGGGAAGGATGGACCTCTCGATCCCGGCTTGTCTTTTGGATGCATCTGACTAGATTTGACATTATTTTGACTATCTTGACCCGGACAACTGTATACTCAAACAATCACCCCCGGATAATCATTATGACAATTACCCCCCAACAGTCTATATTCCGCAGAAATCTTGTAGCACTGACTGTCAGGAGTCGAGAATGCATATTGTGTCTCATGTATTCTTGGAGACTAGTAGTATATAGCTCACTTCATCCGCCACCATCCAAACTGCGTTGCGTAATCTGAAGATAAACATCTGTGACCTTAAACGAACTTTAGTCGCGTGCGAGCTATCTAGCTTACACCAGCTGAGGTCATTCAGACTAGGGTGAATAAGAGGTCAAATTAAAGGTCTCAGTTGGAATGCCCCATGACCCCATCTAGTATCCATAATCCAATGATCCCCCAATGCATCATGTACTTACGCTCTTCGGTATTACCCCTCTCCTTACAATATATTACATATATCATTTTCCTGTCTGCTTCATTTTAATCTTACACAATCAAATCGTGTTTTCCCCCATTAGTTAAATATAGTTCGTACGAATACATGTCTGCATGTATTACAACTACTTCCTTATCACATCAGTGCAATTCTACCACATGCGGGAATATTTAATGATTATTTTATTCCACATGAAATAAAGTCTCACCTCCCTGAAATAACCGAGAGAAATGTATAGGCGAGGATGAAAGCCTTTATATACCCGGCCGACCCCCGCCCCGCCCTGTCTACTATAATGCCCTTGCTATGCCCCGGCATCATTACCTTCGGTTCTGCACAAGTGGCAAAGTGATTATGGTGCTGATAATGATGATTGCGTCGTTGTTCGGTCGAGTATAGCAGGATGGTTATTATATTCGTAATGGGAAGGCAAAGGAACGAAAACAGGAAATTCATACTATAGTATTACTAGGAGGCTTATGTAGCTATGTACAGAAAAACAACATCCTGATCGAGCACAATTTTGATCGAAAAGGATGGGACGCTTGTCTTAGTTGAATGGAACGGGGAATGGAACAAAAGCAATAAAGCGGGACTCCCAGATTTTTACGATTGCTCTCCAGAAAAAAAGATAGATTCCCAAGTATAGCACATTTGACGATAAACAGGGTGTAGGTTCAAAATTATACAGATATTCCAATTTGATATTTTGAAACACAAATTTTGAATGTGGATAAGTCACATTCCAACTCCCGCCCCCCCCCCTCCAAATAATGTTTAGAAACATCGTACGCGATACCACCATTTTGTAATGTATGCGATGTTAGTTGTTAAAGGGGGATATTTCTGAATCATTTTTACATGTACGTGCCTCACAGACTCTTTTTTTACGCGGTCGTGTTATTCATACATGTAACTAATCACGAAGCACTTTCATGGGCGAAGGAAAATCCCGAGGCAAAATGCCCTTTCAACTCGCATAACGAAAAAACTCTTTTCTTTTACTGCCACTAGCAATACCTTTAAATTATACCTCATTTCTCCATACGATTTGTCGTCATAATGGGTAACCTAATAGCCTAATAGTATCTTTTCATCTTTTGATGCATCCATTATGTGCGGTACTTCTTTATGAGATCGAAAGATGTAGTCAATAATAACGGTCATTTAATATGTGTTTGTGCCTTGTCGGTGAATAAGTCATTTTGTAAATGATGATTACATCTTTTGTTCGAGAACGGCATGGAAAATTAGAGGAACAACTACATGAGTAATGGTTGACGTTCTTACCAATGATCAAGATAAGAAAAAAATCGGAGAAAAAAGGAACCATTATCATTTTCTTGATGGTATTCGCAATTGTTGGTATGCAGTTATCAGGTAATTTCATCTAAATTATCGTCATCATAAGCAGCACCATCATCATCACTATGCATCATTACATTCATCAACGTCAATAGGGACTTTTAGATTCGCACGAAGACAACGGGGATTGCTATGATCGACGTTCTTTTAATGCACTGCTTTGAATGGACGTCACACATATCAGTCCACGCAAATCTATAAGTCCCTAATATCACCATCTGCAACATCACCATCACCGTCATAGTCATCTTCATTGTTGTCTTTACAACTAGAGATGTTTATGATCATGATAAGCATTTCTATCATCACAATCATCAGTCTCTATCAACTTCATCGTTATCTCCAAAACAAAAGCAATCGTGATGATCTTTATCATCACCGTCCACATCACCATGCATCATGATAATCATCATTATGAATCATCGCCACGACAATCATAATTATTCATCCTTATCGCCAGCAGTCATCACCGCCACAATCATCCTCGCCAAGAAATAGCAGAAAGACCAACTTTTAATTAACAAAGACCAAGATAAAAAATAATACGAAACATAGAGGCATCCATTATCATTATCGTGACAACAGACACTAATTGGTCTATGGTGATCTTTTTTCGTTTTTGCATGTTCCTGTCGTTGCAAGAATTGTAACTGGCAAATCTTTATCACCATCACAATTTCACACGGCCTAAGAAGAAAAAAAAGTTGTAATGCCCTTTAGGTGCCATAACATGGGTCGGTCGGTCGGAAATCTTTTTTTTTTTTTTTAAACTTTTTTTTTCTCCCGCTTTGGCCTGATATTTCTCAGTTTTGAATGTTTTTAAAAAAAATTCTCTAAAAAATGGTTTAAAAAAACAAACTTTTTTTACAAAGCCGACTACAGATTTCAAGATTTTTGGGTCGGTCACAAAGGGCAATACAACATTTTTTTTTGTAGGCCTCATACTCCTCCTCCTCATCAACACCTTTATAATCACTATCTTCTTTCTCCTCTTCATCATACCCATGATACCATCCCATCAACATAATTTTCGTCCTAATCACCATTACATGCATGTACATATGTCCACCTATCTCCATCAACATCATTTTCACCACAATGACCATAATCACCCAGGCGCGGATCCGGGGGGGGGGGGGTGCAAGCGGGCCTCCCCCCCCCCCCCCTGACAAAAAAAGGGGGGGAAGGAAAGACGGACCCCCCAAAAAAATTGGTGACCAGAAATTAACCTCTTTTTTTTTTTGCTCAATGGGGAGGGAAGGGGGAGGGGAATCCTGAATCCGTGCCTGTAACTACCATCGTCATCATCATCTTCAGCTTTTTATCAACTCTAATATCACCATCCCCATGTCTACTACCATCATCATCACCAAGATGTACACCATAAACAGCATGTCTATCTTCTCGATATACTACCTTTACACACCAACGATTTCATGCTTGCAAACATTTACAAAATCTAAAAAGGTAAACAACCCTTGTCCATTGCCTATTGAAAAATACAAAAACATTGTACTTCAATGAACCCGGGAACAAATTCATATTTCTTTAGGCAATACATAGGTTGAAATTGCCCCACCTTTTTAGTCTTGATGCCCTGCAAGTGTTTGCAACCATGTTATACCAGTTTTATAGCACTCCAACAAGAGATAAATCAGGTAATGATTGAAATGTATTGTGTTGTTTTATTATTCCACTGTACTTCTCTGCCAAGTTGGAAATTTGCATGTAAAAGATGGTAGACTGTCATTATGAGAGTCAAACAAAACCATACGTTAAAAACATGGGTTACATAGAGTCTGGTAGTTAGTCGGAAAAAAGAGAGAAGGAAAAGTCATGCAGATCGCATTGACAAGAGAGAGTGAGATGAAGAGAGGGGTAAGGAAAGAGAAGCGAGAGAGAGAGAGGAGTTTCGATGGATAAATAGATAAAAGAAGACAATAGTAATCTCACCATCTGTTACTTTTAGGATCATTTGAGTAACACACTGGTGAATCCTGATATTATCTATCTCAATTTTTCAATAGGAGCAAGACTGCCCTCTCTATTCAGGCCAGTAGTTCATGTAAGACTGAATAGCCTGAATACTAAAGCTGAGGGACATTACTCAAAATGTAGGTCTACTCGGTCCTAAACTTTCTGGAGTGATTAAAAGAATATACATCATTTTTAACAAGCTATTTATGTGCTTTTCATAATCCTCCCACTTCAGATATCTTATTTTATACGTTTGTATTTAGAAGATTATACAATATTGTTTTTATCTTGACGTGGAAATAAATAATAATAAAATGAAAACTTGATAGGGAGCTTTGGTAAGAAAAAACAGCAGTTAGAAACAAACTCAATATCAAACAATAGTTCAGTAAGCTACAGTACTCGATCTAAATTTGTTAAAACGTTGAGTTTTCACAGAAGTTGATTTTAACCGTATAACGCCATTTCTATATTACCACGGACCAACAATTTATTCTTGAATATCATGTAGAGTTTTAGACAGCTTCCATTGTAGTCCAATGATTATCTATTTTCTTGTAGATACAGTTGTAAGACATGCTTCTTCACTATGAGTTCTTAATAGTGACATTGTTTGAGGGATTTAGAGTGTTGTTTTGTTCAGTGGTACATATCCTGCCGACCCGAAGTGAGACCGGTGCACACTGTGCTTGCTGCCCAGTAGTCATAGTGCTCACTAGGTAAAGCGAAGGCTATCTACCATACCAGCTTGCTTCTTGGTGCATATGGTGCCCTCCCAGTGGCATACCCACATAGCTCCCAGCTGTCTACCAGCTTGCTTCTTGGTGCATATGGTGCCCTCCCAGTGGCATACCCACAGAGCTCCCAGCTGTCTACCAGCTTGCTTCTTGGTGCATATGGTGCCCTCCCAGTGGCATACCCACAGAGCCCCCAGCTGTCTACCAGCTTGCTTCTTGGTGCATATGGTGCCCTCCCAGTGGCATACCCACAGAGCCCCCAGCTGTCTACCAGCTTGCTTCTTGGTGCATATGGTACCCTCCCAGTGGCATACCTACAGAGCCCACCTTTTACATCAGGTACAGCTGGTAGAAAGCAGACATCCTGGAAAGTGACACAATGTAAACAAAAGAATTAAAAAGTAAAGGAGAGAAAAAAGATCATGATTTCAATCTATGATTTTTTAAATTAAAATTTGAACCCTGGTATTTGTTAAACTAATAATCTTGATTTAGGTCAGCATACAAATATGTATTTTAGCCAATCCTGAATAAAATTCATTTTTTTAAGACTAGGTTTCAGCCATAGACCGTATTCTACTAAACTTTGGACGCTACACTGGATTTAGGCCTTTGTCCAAAAACATGTTTTTTTAAATTTATTTTAAGAGGATTTCTTTGTACCTTTTCTATCCAGGAAGGTGAATATTCCTTAGCCTTCTTCTGTTCTGTGATGACATCTTGACGACATCTTGACGACATCTTGATGCTACTGTTTTCCAGTCATCTCATCCTCATTGACTCAAGTTGCTAGGAGGCTCCTCGGCAGTGCATAGCGACTGTGTTGGACAGAAAGCTGTAGAAGGCTCCAGAATGCCCATGTCAAATCTGCTGTAGAAATGGGTCATCGTATATTAGGAAGGATGAGAAATATACAGAAAGAAAAAGGATTAGTGTCATGTAGCATCTACCAGAAAACTGTCGAGTTGAACAAGTAATGACCAAATTTGGATTGGTGAGGTAAAGAAATGGCGGATAGAAGAACATTGAATGGCGAGTGAGAGTAACTCACTGAACTGTAGGAGCAGGCATAATGCACATCTCATGGAATACTGTTACTGGAGAAAAACATTTTTCATAAAAATCTATAAAAAGAATTTAAAAAATATATCTCAATTGCCCGAATTCATCCATTAAAAGAACAAACATGTGCAATGCAATCTGGAATATGGGGAAAATCTGAAGAAATAACCAATTTGGGAAGAGGCAGGCAAAATATCACCCCTTATGACCTTCTTATGACCTTCTTCTGAAAAAAGTGAAAAGAGTAGGGGATGACTTTGATAGGGTTGCTGGTCAAATGTAGATGGGACTCGTAGGGGAGAAGAAAATTGTATTTTCTTCCCAGAAGGGTCACTTATGTTGTTAAGGAATATTCTTTGGCTTGGTCAAGTTAAGTACTATTACTGAGGACCATCTTCTTGGACCTTTTGTTGAGGACAACTTGAAATGCTGTTGGAAATAATATCCTCAACTTTTGATGGTTGAATATTTAAGGTATGTACAAAAAAGCTCCCAAGAAGGTGACATTGAAGTGGATTTAAAGTCTATTTGGAACAAAGTATAGGGCATACATACGCATCCAGGGCACGGCAAGTGCAGATGGGCCAATTTTTGGAATGGGCTCATTGGACCGGACTGGAGTGGACTGGACTGGATCGGGTTGGAATCGGACAAGGTCCCAAATGGCATGGACAGGTCCACATGCAGAGAATGAAGGACGTGGACCTGAACCAAATGGTAATCCATGGGAAGGACGGATGGACGCATGGACTGACAGGCGAATGGGTAGATTATGTAGATGGATGGTCAGATCAGACTTGGGCCCCCTCTGTGGTAGCGGAACTTCACAGACCACTCGGCTTGGAGTGAGTGGCCTGTGAATGGACGGACTGGAAGTGGTAGAGCATTGTTTGTTGGACAAGAAGATCACGGTAAGGTTGGACAGTTCAGTGATGACAAGAGTCCCATTAACTGGTAGTTTGTCAAAGGAACCTTTCGGACAACCATAGAGCTCTTAGATGTTTGGTATCATGTAAAAGGAACTCAAGTGGACAGTTATTAAAGTTCCTCATAATTACAAAGACCCTTGGGCCGTTCTGGACCAAATATCCATGTCTCGATTTTAGTTATTGGGTGGAGGAATCAATGGCCTTTGGAAGCATGGAACAGGGTCAAAGAATTTTTCATCGGCTTCACCAAGGTCTGAATGGACGGCGTAGCTACAGTAGCAAAGTTCTGGACTCTGGTTGGAAGGTCGAATGGGTCTCTCTCGGCCTATACTATGGTACATGTAGTCTTGGGACGAACGTTTGGTAGGAAGTCGGTAGTGGTGAACTACCTGGACCACCAATGCTTCAGGTGACTCTGGACCTAGGGGAAAGAGAACCTCCCAACCATCCCCACCTCACCCTCTAGCAACCTTGGACAACTCACATGCATTCACACATTTAATCGTACATCATGCTGCCTCTACCCCAACCCCCATTTCAATATCTATCATATCATCCACCCCCCTAAGCTAAGGTGCAAGTGGGTGTCAGATTATGGTTGGAAGAATTCGTCCAGAAAGAAATTAATGACAAGCAGGGGCTCTAAAGCTATTTGAAAGTTTTGCAGGGTATCAATAAAAATATATGTATCTGACTAATTAAAGATCCCTTCTTTAGGGGGTACATGTAGTTACTCTAATTTTATGTACCGGTACTGTAGGCTCACATAACACACCAATGCATGTACATCACAAAGAACTCCTTCACCACACAATCAGTCAGGCAGTACAGTAGGTCACATCACAAAGGCCAAGGAATATGTAACCCCAAGCAGTTGAAGAATTGGCAAGAATGAACTTCAAGAATTCTGGGTATTCTTTACATTTTGACTCGCAGTGCTTAGTCCATAAGAGTTCAATTGGGTATAAAATAATAGAATATACCCCATGGGAATTAAATAACCCTCACAATGAGGTTTGGATGTTTCTTTTTCAGGTAAAAAGTTCAGCTTAGCTGCGCTGCAGTGGTTAGGCGACAGACGACAGCATAATATCTTTAAACCCGATAGCAGAAGTGGGAAATTCCTCTTACAGAAAGGTGTTGATTTCATCTAAAGGGATGATGATAATGGGCCTTTGACAACACAAAGTGATGAAGTGAAATTACGCATCCTGTACGTGAATTAAACCAGCAGGATTATAACTTCATTATCATAAAGGATAAAATGATAATTTGGGCTTGTATGTGTATGTCCCAAAATTTCTTTTGAAAGGATTTCCTCCCCCAACACAATGTTTTCCCACTTTAATACAGTGGACTCGAGAGTGGAAAGGCACAGAGTGGGAAGGGTATAGCTTGTTAAAGCAAATGGATATTTATTGGATTCAAATGTTTCAATACAAAACAGCAACAAAAACAAAACACATTGGGATAAAATGGATATGGTTATACAAGATGAGGGACTGTCAGCCTTTAAAGGGCAAATTTGTAGTTAAAACTGCTGACAAAGTCTTTGACATTTAGGTACTGGAATTCTGGAATCGTAGATGTTCGTTTCCATAAGTCGGGGCTTCATTTAGATAAGCCTGTACTTCTGCCAGCCGAATCATTCCCATCGAACAATTAATTTAAAGGTTTAAGTGGGATTTACTCATATTCACAATCATGTCACAATAACTATGTCACAGGTAGCAAACAACTGCCCATGTCTACCTTACAATTGGACTCAACAATTTAAAACATGTAACCCATTTTTTAAGCAAGATATTCAACACCAATTACAACCACAAGACTAATTTACACCATCATAGAGAATTCAGAAGGAAATAAACTTGCTGACATCTGCAGAAAATATTTCAATAGTTTTCCTTTTTTTTCCCAACTGTGTTTCAGGATTCCTTCTCATATATATCTAAAGTTTTCTAAACACAACTTTTTAGCTACCGTACTTATGTTTTTAAAACTGTAAATGTAGAATTTCATGAAACTGGATTTAGCATACTTCTAAATTCCAATTCCTAGCTTCCTTCTACGTTTTACTGATTGCATAACACACTACATGTAACATCAAATACCTAGATTTCTAACAATTACATTTTTGAGATGTCAGAATAATGTTTAGTAATGTAAGGAAATATTTCTTGGAATTACTATTTTTTTGTAAAAGAATAAAGTACATGTATATGACAAGCTAATGAGAGCACAGAGCCACGAATGTTAAAGATAAATGCACAGTACTGTTGATTTCCCCTTTAGTCAGGCATGACACCTGCCCTCTAAAAGGAATTGGCAATCTAACCTTTGTATTAAACACTAACACGTCAATTTTGAGAAAGCAGAAAAATGAGAGAAACAGGTTGGTACAAGTACAGTGTCTGAACAAAATCTGAAAAGGGTAAGTAATGTATGGGAACTTTGTAAGTGTGAACTGATCATATAATGTGAATCTGAATCTGAAAGTTTGTTATACGACAGACATGTAACTGGGACAGCTCTAGCATTAAGCTATCCTCAATTTCCAACACTCCTTGTCCTCTAATTATCGTTTCCCTTGGAGTTAAACTCTCTCAAGATATATTGTGGATTGCAACCAATAAAATACCCCTAAAAAAAATCCTGCTCCTACTTGGTGATGCAGTTTTGAAAGATTATATTATATTCTATTGAAAGATAAAGTCGAACTACCCAACAATGCTCGAGATAGACATTACCAAATTTGTAATCCCAAAGTCTGTGATCTAAATTTTGAAAATATTTGAAACTTTATTTTTGTTAATCAGATTTTGTTCAGAATGCAACCAATCTTGTTATATTGATTTTTTATTATTGATTTTTTTTTTTTGCTTTCCTTCAAAGCAACTTGAAATCAAATTGAAATCAAATTGAAATCAAGGATGGATTTCCAATTATCCCAAAAGGCCATGCAGGTGTTGTGTTTCTTCTCTCCAGCTCAAAGAATATTAAGTTTCTGCTTTAAAGAGATTCTTTCTTCAAGTCGGAGATGACACCAAATAAGAAATCCTCATCTCTACATGTACATTCATCAGTCTGTACCATTTTGTTCTGTCAAAAAAATGCTTTTACCATTCCAATTTGTTGGGGGAGGGGGGAGCCCCATTTTTTAAAAGACTTTTGCAATTTAGTTTTGAAAACCTCAAAAATTATGAATTCTAATTTGATTTAAGGAAATACCACGCCGGTCTGCGTGGAAACAGTTGAATTATTAATTATTTACATAAGCATAAAATAACTACAAAAATGTGCATTACTTTTAATTCAAAAGTGTTAATATCTAACTAAAATATTGATGAACAAATTAAATTATTAAAAAATTTAATAGGCACATGGTTTATAAAAGGAAAGAAAGTCCTTGTCAATTTTCAAGTCTTATGCACAAAACTAAAATGCTAGAAAGCAATAAGAATTCCACAGGTAAAAAAGGGTAGATATTAGCTAGGTTCCCCAGAGCAATTTGTGGCATAAAAATAAATGATGTGATTTCACCATCACCTCCACAGATATTTACAGTTTGGACCATAGAGATCCTCTGAGGAAAGCCTTTTTCTAATTATTAATTTTCTGATTACTGAAGTGCTCCTCCACTATTTTGATACTCCTTAACACTATTTTGTAACAAGAACTTGGCATGAGCAATGTCATGTTGCGTACCTGTTATGGTGATGATTCGATCCTTGGCGCCTGAAAGAGGGTCGTCAATCTTGATCTGCGCTCCAGACTGCATACGGATACGCTTGATACGCTGACCTCCTCTGCCGATGATGGAGCCAGCAAGGTCATTGGGAATCGTGACCTGTTGTGACTGGGATGCTTCCCCGCCAGCACCAGCGCCAGGACCGCCTTCAAAGCCGCCAGCACCAGCACCACCACCTCCTCCGCTACCGAAGTTGGATTGGCCACGTCCACCAGCATCCCCACCAAAATCAAAGCCCTGGGCGCCGAACTGCTGATCTCGATCAAAGCGGGGTCTTCCTCCTATGCCGCCACCGTCACGTCCTCCTCGTCCCCGTCCACGGCCACCTCTATCTCCTCGCATACCTCCTCCTCCTCCTCCCCCTCCTCCCAGGTGTCCGCCACCGCCGCCGCCACCACCACCACCAACGTACGGGCTGCGGCTAAAACCACCAAAGTTATCATTCCCACCACTCATACCTCGATCAAAACCCATACGACCTCTGCGACCCATTGGTGGACCTCTGTTCCAATGGCCACCACCACGTTCACCTCCAAAGCCGCCACGTTCACCTCCTCCATGAACCTCCTCTGCTGGATCAAACAGGTATCCCCCGTATTGGTTGTAAAAGTCCAGATCATGGCAAAATGGGTCATAGTCCTGCACAGGTCCCTTGACTGCGGTCTCAGTACAGATCTCGTAGACCTCACGAGCAGCCTTGGCGATTACATCTGGGCTACCGGTGAGTTGGACAACACGGTCGGTGGACTTGGGGCAGGTTTCTGTGTATACCTTGAAATGAGCACCGGTTTTCTCCCTGAGTTCTTTGATCTTAAAACCTGCCCTTCCAATGATGGCCCCAGCATGACTCTGATGTACCATGATCCTGATGAAGGAGTTGTTCTGCTGATCTTGTGAATGCTTCTTCTCACCGACACTTGGAATGATATCCTTGATACAGTCAATAGCATTGTCCACATTTCTGGTACCTATCTTGATGATTCGCTCTGGCCCATTGCAATCTGGAATGGACACCTTGGCATCATAATCAACCCTGAGGCGCTTGATGTTCTCACCACCTTTTCCAATCACCCCTCCAGCATTGATGCTCCTGATCATCAAGCGGAATATGATCTGGTTGTAGTCTCCTCTTGGACGCTTATTTTGGTTTTGCCTCTGATCTTCTGCTGACCGCTTTCCTCCTTCTCCACTCCCATAGTCTTGGTCTTCAGACATCTTGGTTGACTTGAAATACAACTGATCGGCTGATGCAGACGCTCAAACTTTCTACATGTGACATGAAAATAATTATAGGGACAAAATTAATCACAGGAATAAAATTAAGAATACAAAGAAACACCTTAGCCTAGGGGTAGGCAAACTTAGGCTAAATAATTTCATTTGCGCCAAGACTGGAAATAATGCAGTCCAAGTCTTATTATTCATCAAGGACACTCAATTTAAATTTAAAATTTTTCAAATTCTGTATAAGCTGATATTTTTTGCGTACAGATGTTTTTGCGAATGACAGTCTAAGAGACATTTTGTGAGTCACTGCTTTCGCGAATAGCAGACAGCAGAATTAATGAATGGGCATGACGTGTTCACAAACTCTCTCATGCCAACACATACTGTACACACACAGACTCAGTACACGTAAATACACACACAAGTTTGAGCAGCCCATCGCACCACATACAGCGGAGTGCTGTCCCGGCATAGATTAAGAAGGCTGATTGATTTTAAGACAGGTGCGAGTGTAATGCATGGTGATTAAATACCAAGCACATATTCTGATTGTTGACATCGACTAAGGGTTACAAAAGAGTAAGAGACTTTTGAAAAATGATAACTTCCCCCCTTGCTGTTGCGAAATGTGGTATCCCAGAGTGCTACACAATATGCGCGCCCTGTGTAAAGAATGCTTAAAGGTAAAGACCAGTATTGGAAACGCCCCAATTTCAAAAAATGAAATGGAAGCTCTCATTACCATTAACCAATCATGTGAAAGAATATGTTTTGACTAATACACGATGATAAAAAATTTGCTGGGAAACCGCCTACTAATTCATATATTTGGTAAATTTGTTTCTCTCATGGTTTGTGAGAGATATAGGGTAGTCCCATATACATCTTTCTGTGTATAGTGCTTGTAACTTTACGAAGAATGGGCCAAATTTCTTATCATTTTGATGATTCCAGAACCTTGCAGATGCTAGATGCTAGATGATCAACCTTTTCTGATCGATTCCACAACGTTTCTTTCACAATGCAATCGCTTGACAATATAACTGGTCTTTACCTTTAAAGATAAAGACCAGTTATGGTCATGTGACTGCATTGTGAAAGAAACGTTGTGGAATTGATCAGAAAAGGTTGATCATCTAGCATATAAGTATTGGTGTGTACTGCAAGGTTCTTGAATCATCAAAATGATAAGAAATTTGGCCCAGTCTTCGTAAAGTTACAAGCAATGTACACAGAAAGATGTATATGGGACTACGCACACGTGGGCGACACGTGCGTTTATCTCTCACACACCAATAGATAAACTAATTTACCAAATATATCAATGAGTAGGCGGTTTCCCGGCAAAATATTTATCATCACGTATTAGTCAAAACATTTTCTTACACATGATTGGTAATAAGAGCTTCCATTTAATTTTTTGAACTTGGGGCGTTTCCAATACTGGTCTTTACCTTTAATGAACGTGGGCGCGCAAGTACGTACATAGTATTTGCAGTGGCCAAGCAAATGGCGCTGGCTATGGAGATGTGAAATGCATCAAGGAGCATCATCGCAGAATCCTTTTTTCGCATCGTCAACGAGCAGATCGGAAATAAACTCTCGCTGCCGTCAATCTTATCCCTTCTAGTCTACGCCGAAGGCAAAATGATTATGAAGGAAAAACTGTGGTAACGCCATTACGAACGTGTAGATGGCGCACAGTTTTTCCTTCATAATCATTTTGCCTTCGGCGTAGACTAGAAGGGATGAGATTGACGGCAGCGAGAGTTTAACACGGCTTGCAAGATTTTCAACATGGATGTCGATTTTGACCCATAATTTCCTTAAAAGGGACCATTAAACAGATTATTTCAATCAAGTTAGTAAGTGGAACCGATGTATTATAGCCTAGGCCTAATTTAAAATTGGATATGGACGAGGTAAAATGACATTTTGGGGGATTTTGGGGGCATAACAATACGGCCGTGGCAAGTTTGTCATGTTTGTGGGAGGGGCCTAGCGGCTAAAATCTAGCCGTGATATCTTCAACATACGATGGTATAGGCGATCGTTCAGTCTCTATAACCGGAGGTCTAGTGGAGCCAGACGTAGTCTCAGTGGAACAACCGACGATTATAGAGACTGAAGCTTTCGGTCTACTTCAGGATCACAACAGATAAAGGTTTGAATCTCGATTTGAAAAAAAAAAATTGACTTTTTTTGCATGGTCGCGCAATACACGTAGGCTGCATAGGGATGCGTGTAATCTCTATGGGAAGAATTTTAGCACACAACATCGGGTGCGCGATCAGACACCCTACTAATGTACTATTAGGGTGTCTGATCGCGCACCCGATGTTGTGTGCTAAAATTCTTCCCATAGAGATTACACGCATCCCTATGCAGCCTACGTGCATTGCGCGACCATGCAAAAAAAGTCAATTTTTTTTTTTCAAATCGAGATTCAAACCTTTATCAGTTGTGATCCTGAAGGTGATAATCAATGAATGAGGTGTCATATGAAAGAGCAGGTGAATTCCAATATTTCCAAAGGGGCGTAGCCCCCGAAATTCTAAAAATATCTTGGTCAAAACAGCAATTTAAACATTGTGTCCTGGCTAACTCTGAGGTTTGTCACTTTTGAGATATGACGCCCCGATCGATAAGTAGTCCCAGTCCTAAGGAACAATTCTATGTGATTATATTTTCGCTAGCCCCCAGGGATCACAACTGATAACAGTTTAAAAATACCCTTCTCGCTATTTGGTGGATCAGCTAATTAGGGGGCGTGCGCTCCGCTCAGTCCAAACCATGGTTACATCGCGTAACATCTCCGCGCACGAACGAAACCCCAAATTCAAGTGACTGAAATTATGGTTGGAAATTCCCTCGATAAACCCGGAAGTGAATACACGTTATAGTCAATGGCAATATCGCGGAGACAACGTGCGTTGTCTCCGCGATATTGCCATTGACTATAACGTGCATTCACTTCCGGGTTTATTGTGCGACGAACGCCAACCATACTAGTCAATCGCACATGTCGCGGAGACAGCGTAGCTCAAGCTGCAAGTCGCGGATTGGCTTAGCAGCATGCGTACGATATGCATACGCTTGCATATCGCGCGATACAGCTGTTTGGCTAAATTTAGCAAAACAACATCACTCTGCGTGGACGTCTTTTTCGACGATTTTGACCAAAATGATATGAATATACCAGCGTGTTGGAGGGGCTGTAACTTTTGATAGAAACATCGGTGAGACTTGAAATTTGAAATGTATTATTCTGATAACATTTTTTATTCAAATTTCAAACAAAAATGGTGAAAAACGATCCCAAATTGAAAATTGAAAAATCGTTCAGACACCCTAGTACTATGATTATAAGATTAAGAACGCATTTTGTCCACGTTTGTGAGGATATCCTCATTTATGACGATCCTCATTCTCGGACCAGCACCCCTACTGCACATAATAAAGCCATCAACCACACTTCACAGATTACCATTATTGTTAAAATTTTAATTTACAGCATGCAGTAGTAGTAGGGTGTCTGAACGATTTTTCAATTTTCAATTTGGGATCGTTTTTCACCATTTTTGTTTGATATTTGAATAAAAAATGTTATCAGAATAATACATTTCAAATTTCAAGTCTCACCGATGTTTCTATCAAAAGTTACAGCCCCTCCAACACGCTGGTATATTCATATCATTTTGGTCAAAATCGACGAAAAAGACATCCACGCAGAGTGATGTTGTTTTGCTAAATTTAGCCAAACAGCTGTATCGCGCGATATGCAAGCGTATGCATATCGTACGCATGCTGCTAAGCCAATCCGCGACTTGCAGCTTGAGCTACGCTGTCTCCGCGACATGTGCGATTGACTAGTATGGTTGGCGTTCGTCGCACAATAAACCCGGAAGTGAATGCACGTTATAGTCAATGGCAATATCGCGGAGACAACGCACGTTGTCTCCGCGATATTGCCATTGACTATAACGTGTATTCACTTCCGGGTTTATCGAGGGAATTGCCAACCATAATTTCAGTCACTTTTTCGTTCGTGCGCGGAGATGTTACGCGATGTAACCATGGTTTGGACTGAGCGGAGCGCACGCCTCCTAATTAGCTGATCCACCAAATAGCGAGAAGGGTATTTTTAAACTGTTATCAGTTGTGATCCCTGGGGGCTAGCGAAAATATAATCACATAGAATTGTTCCTTAGGACTGGGACTACTTATCGATCGGGGCGTCATATCTCAAAAGTGACAAACCTCAGAGTTAGCCAGGACACAATGTTTAAATTGCTGTTTTGACCAAGATATTTTTAGAATTTCGGGGGCTACGCCCCTTTGGAAATATTGGAATTCACCTGCTCTTTCATATGACACCTCATTCATTGATTATCACCTTCAGGATCACAACTGATAAAGGTTTGAATCTCGATTTGAAAAAAAAAAATTGACTTTTTTTGCATGGTCGCGCAATGCACGTAGGCTGCATAGGGATGCGTGTAATCTCTATGGGAAGAATTTTAGCACACAACATCGGGTGCGCGATCAGACACCCTAGTAGTAGGCCCATCATCACCTATGAGCCACACGCACACGTACTTAATGTAGGCCTACTGAGTCCACACGTACACTGCACAGTACACGCTCGCGAGTCAGGCAAGCTGTTCATGCATGCACCTGTGCACGCCACCCAACCAACATGCCCAAACATATGTTGTCTTTCCCACTCACAACAACTTAAAATATTTAATTTTACAGCTTGATCTGCAACATTTTTATACCTTAAGTCTCACTTAAAATGACCAGTACACTTCATTCAATTCTCATGCAGTATGAAAAAAGCTTTAACTACATTACTTACGATGTTTTTCAACGGTAAAAGTGAACAAGCCAAACAGATATCAACGACAAGTGGATGGGAAATTACAAGGAAGTAAAAAAAGATGAGAAACAATTTGCTAATTTGGTAGTGCTTAAAAGACTTTAAAAATAAAATCAAAGATAAAAATATATTTATCATAACCAAATCTTTTTTAAATATATTTTATTATTTCGAAATTTAAAAATGTGCGCTTACTCATATAATTTATGTAAAAAGAATATTTTGGTTAACTTATCTTTAACTAAACCTAGAAATGCCTGGCGTGGGTTCGACACGCACGCGCACGCGCGTACAGTACGTACGTACGATCTAATGTGCGGTTATTTTTGGTCGCTCGTAATAATAGTAGCTCGTGGAAATAGGGGGCCAGGGGGCCCGTTTCACGAGACCGGTATAAGTCTAACTTCTTGACTATATCACAATGTAACATGTGTCAATGGGATAGTCCAGAAGTTAGACTTGTGACGGTTTCGAGAAATGGGCCCCAGTTTCTCCAGCTATCGCCCAAGAACATGAAAAATGGGGAATCGGCCCACCCCCGCCCCCCCCCCCCCCCCACTCCGGGGATGGAGGGACTGGATTCATGTTCCCCAAAACTCCAGTACTGAAGAGATACTTTTCACGGAACAAAGTCCGGCTCGTAATACACAAAAAATCGGCACGTAATGACTTTACACATCGTCGTCACCGGACTTATAGTAAAAAGTGAGGGAACATGCATACGCGTATTATTATTATATGGCATTCTATGAAGTTCAAAAGAGCATTATTTTAAAGGATGACGGTTGGGAAAATGCGTCTTTTACCAGTTTAATTATGCCATGGTAGTTTAAAGGGACAAGCGTTTTACTCTACAATTAAAGGACACGTACAGTGGCACACTTAGTTAACACCAGGGGCGGCGATTTCTTTTCATGACCGGGGGGGGGGGGGGGAGGGAGGAAATGCGAGGGACGAGGGAGCAGTGGCGTAATGAGCATGAACAAAATTGGAGTGGGGTCCAGGGGTCGGAGCCCCCGGAAGCTCGGGCGTTTTAGGCATTTATTTACGGTCAGATGAGCAACCAGGGGCCCGCCTTCGGGCCCTTGGTGAGGTCCAGGATGCAGAGCCCCCGGAAGCTCAGGGAAATATCATGCCATATCAGCAACATTTGTAAATCACTGGTATCGAATAGAAATAAATAACGTTTAAATTTCTTTGGGGAGGGGGAACTGCCCCCAAAGCCCCCCCCCCCCCCCCGCAAATGCGAGGGAGCAATAGTGAATAAGAGCTTGAAGGTGACGGAAGAAACTACCCCCTCACAGGTTTTTTGTTGCATTGAAAAAATACAGTCTTAGCAAAACTATAGTATAAAAACAAGCAATATACTTTTTTCACACTTCACTTTTCTTGGTATTTACTTGTACATTTTGAAGAATATTATGCGAGGGAGCGTAGCTCCCGAGTGAGAAGATTTGTGCATTTTTATTTGTCTATAAACACTGCGCTCTTGGGCCCTCCAGAGCCTAAAAGTGTGTTGCAGTCTTTAGTCCGATTTGCTATACATTTGTATAGTTGCACTTATCAAATTTTGAGGGGGACGATCCCCCCTAAAAAAAAAAAAAATTTACAAAGGAAAAAGGGCACTTATCTGATGTAAAATTAGGGAAGCTCTCGCACCTGAAAGGGGGCGCTTATAAGAAGGGAAAGAGGGCGCTTGTCGGAGTAAAAGAGACACCTATCAGATTATAATAGGGACACTACAGGGCACTTTTTTACACAAAAGTGGCACATTTGCCGGTACTCGAAAAAGTGTGGGGGCACCGTGCCCCCCCCCCCCCCCCGGAGCGCCGCGTCTGACAAAAAACCCAATATTTTTGATAAAACTGATAAGACTCATTGGAGAGTTTTGTATGTATGCATGATCTATAGATTATGGCCCGAATTCACAAAGGAGGTTTGTCGACAGAGACCAAGGTTCAGACAAACCTTGGTCTGAAAAGCGTCAAAACGCGTCATAATATAGAAACCTACTTTGTGAATTCGGGCCTATATAATTATGTTTCAGCATTCAGATTAAATTCAATTCCCAACAATGTTATTACATGTATCGACTTCATATTCACTGAATTGGGATGAAACCAATTGGGATAAACGTAAACCCCGTTTCCACTTTTTGAAATTCATTTCTGAAATTTTGGCTTCAATGCTCGGTGGCGGATCCAGGGGGGGGGGGGCGAAACGGCCGACCCCCCCCCCCCCCCCCCCATTGGCGGCGCAAAAATAAAAGGAAAAAACAAAAAGAGGAAAAAACAAAAGAAAATAGAAAGGAGAAGAGGAAAAAAAGGAGAAGAGAAAAGAAAAGAGAAGAGAAAAGAAAGAAGAGAAAAGAAACAGAGAGAGAGAGAGAGAGAGAGAAAAAAAGCCCCCCCCCCTCCCATTTCGGGGTCGGAGGGACCGAATTCGTGTTCCCAAAATCTCCGGTAAAGGAGTATTTTTCACGCAACAATGTTCGACCCGTAATACACAAAAATCTGGCCTGTACTGACTTTACACACCGGAGATAGAGGGGTGCTCTCAAAGAGAGGGAACATGACTTTATACGCGTATAGATAACACTGAGTGTGGGGGGGGGGGGGGGAGGGGGGGGGGAGTCGGGTGAGAAAGGTGGAAAACAAGGAAAAGGCGCTTAGTGACAGTAACGACGAATAAGGGAAAACTGTAATCGGGAGATTTGGAGTCATTCCAGAAGGCTTGGGAAACTTTATTAAATAGAGGGGGCCGGCCGCATAAAAATTTCGAGCCACGGATTCTAAAACCATGCAGCCCCTGCGCTACAAGGTCAAATTTTTAATTAACGGAGGGTCCGCTTCACAACTCTTATTTTGCATGCCCTTCATTTGGATTCAGCTCATACCAACTCGCTTGAGCTTGTATTTGAGCTCATGTTAATAGTAATCTTGGACAGGGGCTAGGGGCTTGGATCCTAGGCCCGATAGGGGGACACGTCCCCCAGGAAATTTAGTATGGGTGGGGGGGGGGGGGGGACTGAATTCAGACGAGGAATACGAGTCGAGAATGATACAACAATCGTCTTTTTTCTCTTAAAAAATTAATGAAAGGTCAAAGCTTCCGCGCTTTGCGCGGGCGGGGGAAAACTGAATATTCAGACAATGATTAATAGTCGAGAATGGAACAACGAATCCTCTTCTTTCTCTAATAATTTAATGAAACATCAAAGCTTCCACGCTGCGTGCGGGAGGGGCGGGGCTGACTTCAGACAAGGATTAAGAGTCGAGAATGGAACAACGAATCATCTTCTTTTTCCAATAATTTCATTAAACTATGAAAGGTCAAAGCTTCCGCGCGAAGCGCGGAAGGGGGGAGGGGGACAGATTCAGACAAGGAAAAAGGGTCGAGAATGCTACCACGTATCGTCTTCTTTCTCTAATAATTTCATTAAACTATGAAAGTTCAAAGCTTACGCGCTTTGCGCAGGAGGGGGGGGGGGGGGGGGACTGAATTCAGACAAGGATTAATAATCGAGAATGGCACAACAAATCCTCTTCTTTCTCTAATAATTTAATGAAACATCAAAGCTTCCACGCTTCGCGCGGGAGGGTCAAACTGAATTCAGACAAGGATTGAGAGTCGAGAATGGTACAACGAATCGTCACTCTTTCTCTAAGAATTTAATGAAACGTCAAAGCTTCCGCGCGAGAGGGGGGGGGGGGAACTGAATTCAAACAAGGAATAAGAGTCGAGAATGGTACAACAGATTGTCTTCTTTTTCTAAAAATGAAAGTTTAAAGCTTTCTAATAATGACAATTTAAAGCTTCCGCGCTTCGCGCTAGGGGGGAGGGGGGAACTAAATTCAGACAAGGAATAAGAGTCGAGAATGGTACAACAGATTGTCTTCTTTTTCTAAAAATGAAAGTTTAAAGCTTTCTAATAATGACAATTTAAAGCTTCCGCGCTTCGCGCTAGGGGGGAGGGGGGGAAAACTAAATTCAGACAAGGAAAAAGAGTCGAGAATGGTACAACGAATCGTCACTCTTTCTCTAAGAATTTAATGAAACGTCAAAGCTTCCGCGCGAAAGGGGGGGGGGTGATTGAATTCAAACAAGGATTAAGAGTCGAGAATGGTACAACAAATCGTCTTCTTTCTCTAATAAGTAATGAAAGGTCAAAGCTTTCGCGCTAAAGCTTCCGCGCTTAGCGCGGGCGGGGAAAAACTGAATTCAGGCAAGGATTAGTATTCGAGAATGGTACAACAAATCCTCTTCTTTCTCCAATAATTTAATGAAACATCAAAGCTTCCACGCTTCGCGCGGTAGGGTCAAACTGAATTCAGACAAAGATTAAGAGTCGATACCAAGTCGATACGCTAGCGCCCTGTGGTTAGGCATTAATCCTCATTACCAATTCCCTCGGAGAGGACCATAGAGCCATCGGTCACCGTGCTTGCTGCTTATAGTTAATAATGCTTTCTTAGTAGTCAGGTAAAATGAACCATCAACCCAAGAGTCGGTACATATGACCAGGCGCGTACGCAGGGGGGGGGGGGGGGGGGGGGGAGGGGGGAGGGGTCGAACTCCCTCAATTTTTTGTGTGTGTGTTTTGAAAGAAACCCCTCCCCCTCAATTTTTTTTATTTTTTAATTTTTTTTTCAATGTGCTTTTACCCCCCCCCCCCCCTCCCTGATTATTCAGTGGCTGGCTGAGTCATTACGAAATTTTTGGCGCGATTTTCAAATTTTAACCCCCCCCCCTTCGAAAAAATCCTGCATATACGCGGCTGCATAATTATGACCCCCACCCCCTTCCTCAACTGACCTCAAGAGGAGTTTGCATTTATTACATTCATCAGATATATCTCACGCTCGATGGCCTATACAATCATGGTACAGTTTTATGTAATTTGTGTTGTGAAAATTATGTAGAATTAAAACTTGAACCAAATATAGTGGGGAGGTGCCGGGGGGGGGGGGGAACTCACATATTAGGACATACGGGGGTGTGCCGCTCTAATGGGTCACTTTTTCAAAAAAAAATCCCGAAACATGGGTCCCACTTTCAAAAATACCCGAAAATTGGTCTTTTATAGAGAAAAATGACCCAAAATTATCTTTACTAGACTTCAGCGGCACACGCTGCCCCGTCCAAACCAAATCTTAGTGGGCCGGAGGGGGGTGGGGGGGGGATGTGGCGGAGAAACTTTTCGCTCAATAGGCAATCCAAATCCTAGGGCTGACCTATCCTATCCACAGGCGCCTATTATGCTGCCACACCTTACCCATTAGCGCCGCGGGCACATTAATTCCAGGGTGGGGTGTGGCTAAAGACGTTTAAATATAAGTGTGGCGGCCCGGGGGCTGTATCCCTTTTGCCCAACTGAATATCAGCGATTTTCATATATTTTTAGCAATTAAGTGAGCGAGCAAAATTGTTGACACTCTCTATTTAAAACAACAAACGCAAAACGCAAAAAAATAAAATTGAATGTCGAATTTGCCGATTGGAAAGTCTTTCCTGATCCCCACCATAGCCCTTTCCCCTCCCCTCCCCCTAGCCCTACCCACCATCGCCGCCATGGAAATGAGCTAGGATCCGCCCCAGATAGCTCGATCGCTTATACTTCACTTAGCTAGATTAACTGCACGCGCCATCTAGCGTCTGCTGAAAGATTAGATGTCGAGTGAAGAGATCGACCTAACATTGAGAGGACTAAAATTCATTATAAATTTGTTTATTGTAAGTTACCGGTGTATTTATTCGACGCTTGATCGGTGCTTAAGTGTTTATGTCATGCCGGGTTGGAATGGAGAATGGAGAGTGAGTAATAATATCTAACTCTGCCTGACTCGTCCATCGTGATCGTCATTTTTAGTTTTATGCAGTTTGGACTAGGGTAGATCTAGGTGACTTTTGCACCGGCGGCGTTCCTCAGTGCCTAGCGACCCACCAGCTGACCGACGGAGCGGAGCAACCTACCCTGGCCTGGCCTAGCCTGGGCTGATTTGACAAGGTATGTAGTCCAGTCCGGTATACTCGTTTGTTTCAATCATGTGGTACAAATTAATTAGTTCGAAATGTGTATGGTAGGAAGATTGTATGGATGACACCTAAGGGCAAAGGGAAATAAATTTCTTCTACATTTTACAATGTTGTTAAAAAAGTTGGAACAAATTTGTTGTCGGACTCGGAGCTTGGAATGTTGGAGTCTTCAGATTTCATTAAGTTCAGACAAATATTGCCAATTAAAACAAGTGTTGGCTAATATTTTAAGACAAGTTATGTGCAGTTCAACCACTATGATGCTGATAGAATATTGAATAGTATAACTTTGAATTGTTAATATTTATAAGACAACAAAAATTATGAATGTGTTTGCTAATTAATTCAGACAATTGGGGGTACATGTATGTATGTTCCGCTCAGACTACATGTTACATCTGGCTTCATGAAATGTCTTGGAAGAGAGTGTCGATCGTAATTCTTTTGTTAAATCTTTAAAAGCGCTAAAAACATCAGTCTTTAGGTTGTTTACAGTAACTAATCTGGTTTTTTTATAAATAATAATAATATCCTCAAACTGTCATCAATCTGTTACTTCATTTTATGCTCTTGCCCAGGTAGAATTTCCTTTAAGTGGACATTATTTTGCAGTATCATATTTATTATGGTCATTGATACACATTCCATTTGTGTATGATAGGGGTTGTGTGTCCCAATGCTTGACAAAATATAAAGCCGTCACTTTTTCCTTTGAAGTTAACAAAAATTATGCATAAAACCAACAACAAAGGACAAAACAAAAATCATAAACATATTTATCCTTTTTCATAATATATAACATAAAAATTCATTTTAAAAAAAGACAGAAATATTGCAAATAAGTTTCTTGAAATAACAGATTTAAAATCAACTGTCGGGATAACCAACTTGTCCCGACAAACAATGGGTGTGTATATATTTAATCAGGGTACGGTTTTGACAAGAACTGAAGATTTGCAATCCAGACCCCTGTGAAAAAAAGTAGTGACGTACAAAATGTACATACCGGTACATGTATAGCGTGGAGCACTCGGGCCCTGATATAATAGTACATGTATTTGTAGCAGTATATTAGTGATTGTAATAGCGCTATATAAAAAACCGAGTATTATTATTATATGTAATTGGATTTGAATGAATCTTACAATGAAGAAATGGCCTTATAACTATCATTAATTATGAGAGCATGCTAGGCCATTTCCTAATCATGAACACAGCCTAACAATTCTGCCTTTTACTTTTTTTTAATGTTATTCATGAAAACAAAAATTGATAAAGAGGTTCCTTGAGTGTTTATGTTACCATAGCAACCAAATATATAATGCACACTCCATCTGTAGGCTGTTATTTAAACCGTATAGACATGCACAACCTGTATATATACAATATACATGTATATTGTATATTGTGTAAACGCAATTGCTCTTTGTGTAACCTATTACAGGAATTCAATCTAAAACCTTTTATTACCTATCTAAGACCCTATTTAGGAAGTTATTTGACTTCTCCCTGGGTTTTTTTTTTCTTCAAATCAATCTCTCACAAGAATATAAATAACAACGGTGTGTTCATATAGTATTACTATATGAACACACTGTTGTTTTGTTGGATACACTATTGAGGATAAGGCTACTGGTAGGTTAAATTGAATCCTATTTTCTTGTCTGAATTGAAAACAAAAATAAGGAGTAGAATTGTCCATGTTACATGATATTTGATATTTTCCTCCCTACATTAATAGCACAGGGTTAAATTTCAACTCATTTTGAAAAATTGTTTATGTTCTACAGATGTTCAAATCAAGTTTCAATTGCATATTATGATTTATTGTTTTTTTCTTTATTGTTCAATTAATTCAAATAAACCTTTCTTTAACAATAACAAAGTTATGAATTACCCTAGATCTACAGTGTGATGAAAAAATGGAAGCAGAAGGGGCAAAAAAACTTTTTAAAATTTTGCTTTGAATCCTTAAAGTTAACAACAATATAGTTACCAACATACATCAAAGTAGGTGGATATCAACAGATGTCATTTCTTAAAATACACCTGTTACCATTTTTTGCAATACATACATATTCAATATTATGTTTCATTAAATTCACCCAGTAGCCGAGGGTATAGAAAAGGCGGCTACTTTGTGTCAGCGATGTTAAAAATCAATAGCTCCTATTCACCGGGTCCTAAACACTGTCTGTATCGTGTTCTTCGCCTTTATCCTATTGAGTGTAATGGTGAAGCCCTTTTGTAGCACTTGGTGCGGCTATAAGTCTTTCCCCCACCGGCTACCATCATTCTGTACCTTCTTATCGAATGCACAGCTCCAGACAATACTTGGCAACTCAGTATCGCATGCATTGAAAGTGTATGTCTTTTGCATTGTCGGAGTAGGTGCAATGTAAATGTAAAAACTTTTTCATAGACAAAATTTGACACTTTAATCATACACAGATTGTAATCTAAAACTGTAGGGCCGTATTTCTATATATATTACCCCAGCTTCTTGAAGAGTTAAACTCGGAAGCTATACTTTTAGTTCTCTCATTGATTAATGTCAGGCATATGCCTTACCGGTAGTCTTATTCTTTTTTACAAAATTGTTCATACAAGAGTTTTGTAGTAGAATATGGCATAAATTGATATATTCCATGTAATTTATCACACTAGGTTTTCAGATTTATATGCTATTCGAGATCATATTCAATTTCTTTTTATTGTAAAAGAAATTTAAATTATAAGTTGTATATTAAACTGTACTCATTCTTGTCCAGCCTTTCTTAGATTTGTGATTACATTTAATAATAATACAGCATTTATTATGCGCCATCGATCTAGTAAACTATTCTGAGGCGCAAAGGGATAGAAATAGAATGAGATACATAGAGAAATGAGAAGGCTATTTCACTTGAAGAAGAGATTTCCCCCTCTTAATTATACTTGTACTTTGTACAGAATGCAAATGGTAGTAACTACTGTATGTACAGCTATAAAACTGCAGCATCTATCATAAAGCACTAATTCACAGTGGACCATTTATAGTTTGAGATTTAGTATTGAAGTAGTAACTAGATGCCTGTGGCTATAGGATTTATTTTGGAGTGAGTGAATCCTATTAGGACTGTAACCCTGCTGTGGTCCTTGCGCTGATCAATGAAAAGATTCATTCAAAACTCAAAAGTAGGATTTAGTTTATTTCCATGTGAATGTATGATGCCAAACAATTGAACGAGGGAGATGCCTTGAAAGTGCAGCTTATGAAGAAGGTTGAGTTCTGGGAAGAGGTGAAAAATAATTATCCACAAAGCTACCTACTTTAACAAATTTAGGATACAGCAATGTGCAGCAATATGCTTGCAAGACTTATTGATGCTTGACATATAAGAATTTGAGAATTTAATTAATGTGAGCAAGTGTCTGCTACACTCTGCTCTTTGCTCAAATACATTTATCTTGCAAGTAGAATTCTTTGCACGACTTATTATTTGGCCTTCTTGTTTGATCTGTGTGATTAGCATCTCTGTAATGAAAATTTGTAAGAGATGATGAATGACAGCATCTAAGTGCAATGAGCATGTCAGGTAGGTAGCCTTGGATCACAATCACTCTTGAATGGTTGCATATTCAGTGCCAAATAGATACCGGTAATCATGTATTGTTTACAACCTTTGTTATAGGGTGCGTAGTGGAAAAAGCAATTACTGCATTTTTATGATCATGTACATGTAATACACTGAAAATTGGTTGTAATGTAAAGGTAATGCATCAAGAAAAGTGCATGCATGCACTAAACTACTTTTTAGGTACATCTGAGGCTTTCAACAACATACACTTGTACTATTTCTGTTCAGATTATTTCACTTGAGAGAGAAGTAGTTTACTTTTACTATAATGTGGATCAATGCCCTTAGTTTTTATAAAGTGTGTGTAGTGTGGGGGGGGGGGGGGACCTTGAAGCTCAGGGGCAGCTTTTTCCCCCTTATACATAATTATATGTACAAGAAGGGAGAGATCAAGAATTTGTTGATTACACATAAAATGCTCATCCATCATGGAGAATGATGTACATGTATATCAGAAAATAATCAACTGAATCCGTTCCCTAAGGAAATTTATGGTCACTTAAGTTTCTCCGACATTTAAGTACCGGTACTCCTGAATAATGAATCCCTGTTGGATTTGTTTAGAGATAACTTATGTAGTTATCCACAGGCACACTTTTTTCAGAATCTATTTCAGCTCGTTCAAGCACATTGTAGTCACAACACTTTCCCTCACCTACTGTAGTAGTAGATTGGGGATTAAACCGTGATATTTGTACAGCCTAAGCCTGCCCTTGGTTCCTACCGATTGTCTAAGCCCTAAGTGCGATAGAGAGGGGGATGTTGGTTTTTTCGCTTCCAGTCGTTAATAAGAAGAATCGACAGTACGATTGAAAGACATCTGTTTGCACAGACTTGTGGGTATGTTAAGCATGGGTACCACTTATAAGCTACAGTCTTCTGTGCGATTCAATTAGTGATAGGTATTCTGCAATTGGTCGAAGAAGGGGACGCTTTTGAGTAAGTCTGAATTGATGCTTATGATGGCTTCTTTCCAATCTTTTGATCAATTAATTGATGTGTGTTTGATTGCGTGGAAGTGCCTTGTTTGCAGCAATTGCAGAATTAACCATCACTCTCTGACATCAACTCTAGCATCCATAAAGAAATTACGAAAGTTCAGTTGTTTACATGTATTTAAAAAAAAGTAGACCTCATGACTGAGGCAGTTTATGATCAAAGCATAAATTGAGAATCGAATTACAGAACAAACAGAGAGTGACATTTTTTGTAATTTGTATAAAAATACAAACAATAATTTCCTTGCGGCTCTGTATTTATTCTTTATTCTTTCTATTAGTGATTTATATACATGAAAATAGACTTCACTCATTTTGTAAATTTTAGAATTTTTAGAGGCCTTTGTAGTAATTATATACTACTCTGACTGAATATATATTTATAAACAAAGGTGCATTCATCTTTTTGAAACAAACATAATCTACAGTGTATGCACTTTCTATGTAGGACTACTACACATGTAAGTTATATCATGTTTACAGTGTACATAACCACTTCAAACAAGACTTCAATATGTCAGTAAAAAGAGTACCAGGTAGTTGATTGATTTATACGTCTTTTGGAACACTGAAGGCCTGCTTGTACATTGCACTCTGAATGGTTTGACCTTAGACACCTATTACCATGGTAACTGTATACAGTCCATCTGTGGTCTACTTGTCATGTGAGTAGCCATGCTGTTGCCTTGGTAATGGTACTACTACTATAGCCAAGCCCAAGTATACATGTAATGCACTACCAGAGTCTTGGTAGAATTAGAAAGCAATACAAAATTGACACCTTACATGTATGCAACTTTGTTTCTAGAACACATTATGGGGCATGATGCAGCCATGGAAACCTTGATTGATTCCATTCTTGTAAAAGAAGGAGGGAAAAGGATAGGACCATATACATGTACATGAGAAAAATATATGTGAGAAATGAAAGAGAAAGAGAGAGAGAGAGAGAGAACAACTCTCGTCTATAAGGTTTCTGGAGAAAAGGCTTGAATAAGGGTCTATGTCTATTCAACAGCCAGAAAATCTGTTGTACATGTTGGTAGGTCTTTTAAAGGGGGGGGGGGGGGGGGGGGAATAATGCCTGAAGAAAATGGAGAAAGAAAAATTAAGAATAGTTTGTGGATGGAAGTACATCCAACTTTATGGACTACAACATTAGGGATTGAATAGAATATCAAACTTGATATATTGAAGTACAAAAGCACTATTACTGTACATTTTCCCTCATTTTAAAGAGATGTTGTTATCAAATGCTTGAAAAGATTGGATGCCAAATAAAATGCCACCAGCGTGGTGTGTTTTATTGTGATAAGGAGATGACTGGATAGACAGGATTATGTGATAGAATTTCAAGTTCATTGTTGATCAATGGGCAGAGTGGCAGATATTATGACAAAACATTGTACGTGCCAGAATTTGAAAAGTAGATGAATTAATTCTTCATATGGAAATACTGGTGTTCTTTTGTGAATTAAAAGAGCTGCATGCACTGTACGCATGTACTTTAATATAGGTCTACACTGTACATGTCCATCCATGTCCACAAATTACATCAAAGATATTATTCTGAAATAGCACATGATTCTTAATATGTTTAAATAAGCCTGCACGCCCCCCCCCCCATTCTACTTTAGTTTCCATTTAATTGTAAGCCTACACTGTCTATTACATCAATAAGATTTTGTTTCTAAACAATGAACATTTGTAAAGTCTTTTACTTTTGTTTAATGTAAGTTGAGTCGTGTATTATTAATCCCAACATGTTTCAAACCATTTTATTTTGATTCAAAGGTACTTAACAAATAAATGAAGAATAAATTAAATAAAAAATCACTTGGTTACATGTAAGTAATTAAGAAATAAATTACTAAATAAATAGATTAAAGAAACAATAAATGAATGAATAGATGTGAATAGATAGATAAATAATTAATCAAAATCTAATTGAAAGATTTGATGAAGTAAATTACAAACAAAAGGAATTAGAAATACAGATGAGTAGCTGACAAGTTGAATGTCCAGCTGATTTATTCCCACCTCTAATATTCTTTTCTAGACAGAAATTAGGCGAAATGAATTATGTTTATCTTGCCTTTTTTCACCAATCACCGAAGAATCTTTATATTTATTCTGTGCGCTCATCAAAGCTACACATGGACAAAGCTATTTAAATGGATCTAATCATCATGGTATTTAATAGATGATTGAAATTTAATGGGGTTACGGGAGATTAATGATGCTTTGAAAGTCCCAGCACCCTTCTTCGTTTTGTGGTTTGTTGAACAAGGCTGTGGTTTCTGAACGCTCAAAGCATGTTGATTTCAATTAATGTTGAAAGTTTAAAACCTTGATGTTATTGAGCTTGTTGACTTGAGATCTAACACAAATGATCCTTCCATTGATTTTTCGCCTATTGTCCCATTTTTTTCTTAAGAATGTTACGTGAGTTTGGGACTCTTGTCTCTGGCGAACTCTTTGTCATTGCTCAGTTATAAGACGTCCGTCTTAATCAATATAAATGTTTGGATAATCATGTTCATAAACACATCTTGTTATTGCGAGACCTTGCTTGTGACAATGTACTTTGACTGGGAATTAACCATTAGGCATTGATTTATCGTTCATCAATTGATGATTTGTGAACTTTGTTTCTGACACTTGTCACCGTTAGGCCTAAATTGCTCAGCCTTGTATTAAAGCCATTCTTCAGATTACAATGCAAATTGATGTTTGTGCAGAATTTGAAGGAGTATGTGAGTCAAATGTGGAATACATGTTTATAAACAAGGTTTTGCAGAGCCGTTCAAATGGCTTTTAGTACCTCTGGAAATGTACATTGCACTACCATTAAGATTGCAGAACTTTGTCTTAATATTGCAGTGATGACAAATGAGGGTAAATGTAACATTTGGCAGGCGCGGATCCAGGATTTCTTAGGGGAGGGGGCCCAACTTTTTTTTTTTGCTCCCGAAAATTTGAAAATCGCGCCGGCCGAAAAGTCGCTCAGTGGGGGGGGGGGGGGGGGGGGGGGGGGTAAGCGGACATTTTTTTTTTTTTTGGAGTCCCAAAAAAAATCACAACGAGTCTACGACTCAGCCAGCCGAAATGTCGCTCAGTGGGGGGGGGGGGGGGGGTTATGAGCACAATTTTGTTTTTTGGTCCTCGAAAATTTTAAAATTTGCACCCCCCCCTTGAGCGCCAGGGGGGGGGGGGGGCCCAACCCCCAAAAAGGTAAAAATCGCATGATTTTTTTCTCAAGGGGGGTTGGCCACGCCCCCCGGGCCCCCCCCCCCCCCCCCTGGATCCGCCACTGACATTTGGTATGCCATCTTCTGAACTATATTCTAGACTTGAAAATAACATGAACATGAGAAGTATTTGATAACAACAAATTTGGTTTCATATGTATATGAAAAAACACTTGATTTATATCAAATTACCAAACAATTACCAACAACTAGCAAATATGATTCATTGCGAGTTTGAAAATGATGCACACATGCATGCTTTCATACATACATACATTGTAGCTTACTTGTCGAAATTATTTTTTGGGTCTCAATTAAATGTCAATAGGCCGGTTTATACAGTGCAACTGCAGAACAAAATGGGTATCATTATACAGTGATTATAAAACGTACAGTGTTTATTTATTATGCAAATGTGATTTTTATTAAGTTTGGAGAGCTGTATTCTCTGTATACTGAATTTAACGAACCTTCAGTCATATTAGCTCTACTAATATAACGCTTAAACTATTCCCTTGTGTACAATTTGAGCAAGCTCGTTAAAGACTGGTAGCTTGCTGTACCTTAGCAACCAATTAGCATCTAATCAGCATGAATCAACACTCTATACTTTGTTATGCACATTGTATTAAAGTGGACGCAGGATTGTTGGTTTCAAACAATTATATGTACTACATTTACTTGTGGTGTATGTTTTTTAATTTAATTGTATTGTAATATTTCAGAGGTTTTTTTTTCATGAGCTGTACTATATGCATGTAGCCTTTACAATGTATAAATACTGCACACATTTCACCCATCCTGGTAGGATTGGTTGCCAGTACACTGAGAGAAAGCATACATGCATAGTGTTGCTTAGCAACCAAGTATGTATATTTGCATGCAATGTACTAAATTCCAACATTCTGTTTGCTGTTCTGATTTACAGTATTGCTTATTGAAATATAATGCCACTCATATAGGTGTACACATGATCTTGTGCGAAGCGGCGCATTCAGCACATAGTTTTTCTGATGACTCAATATCAACATGCAATTTGATTTGCTTTATAAGCCCTTAGAGCACCCATTCAAAGTTGGAACATGATGATGGCTGGTATTGTTGTTTAGAAATGCTGGAAGATTGTATTCCATGTGGTGGAACATTTGATATCGAGTCTATCAACCCCCATTGTCCTCAAATACCAACTGCTATTTGCGAACTTCGAATTATCATCTTATCATAGCCTAGCTTGCTTCCGGATGTATTGAAACTCACTCATGTATTATTTATCAGCTTTCCGTTCAAGGATAAATGCATAAAACTCCTTTTTTATTTTCATCTGTTTGTGATCACAAACAGTGTAATGTATATTTGTCATTGTGCACTACTTCTTTGTTATGCATAATTCTGCTGTTTATTGTTCGACCAATGCAGGCGCGGATGCAGGATTTCTTGGGGGGGGGGCCAAATTTGAAATCAATTTGAAATTAAGTAAGCTTAAATTTGAAAATCGTCCCGGCCGATATTTCCCGGGGGGGGGGGGGGGAGGGTCAAGGCTTATAATTGCTAAACCCAGCTCTGCATACACATGTATGTACATGGAAGTTGGACAATATTTCTTAGAAGACAGTACTGTATTTTATTTTTAATTGGTTTATCATTTTTCTTTTCTATTTTCATCTTAATCTACAGATTTTGGAGATCAACAAATCCTATCATCAGAGGAGATGTAACCACCATCTATATTATGTATCCAGCCATCAAGAACAAACCTGTATAAGAGATTAACTGCAGCTTATCCTGGAAAGGTAATAGTCAGACATGTATCTATGTTTTGGAAATACCTGTTGAAAAATCGGTCCTAAATTTCCTCGGCAACAAGAATTTATGTAAATGATAGGAGGTGGAAACAATCTCATATAATTTCTTTTGAAGTTTTTACAGTGTATGATGACTTCAATGGTCAGAGAGTTATTCATATTTTTGTGCAAGTAGAATTACTATAATTTTGATTGAAAATAAACATTAATTATCCCTTACTAAACATTCTCCAATTTTCTTATTCAAATTTCATTATTGGGCATTTTTGTTTTTAAAGAAAATCATGAAATTAAATAATTTTCAGTCACATGATTGCTCATGATTATATTCAACCTGTATCACGAGCGATACAGGTTATTTATACTTTTAAGAAAAAAAACAGAGATTTTAATTTCTTATGTTTTATTCATTCAACTAAAATTGTGATTAAATTGAATATTGCAAACCTTTTTGATGATTTCGAATTCGATATCAGTGTGGTCTTTAAATACAGATTAAATTACTTTAAATTGTTTCATTTTTTAAAACATTTACAGGTATTTTAACTACATGTACATCAGGCTTATGTTTTTGTAATGATTGCCCAACATTTTCTTCTCCTTCTTCTTTTAGGAGTCATCCATCAGGAGCTGTATGAATGCTTTCATGCAAACCTGCCCATGTCATCAAAGATCAAATGTTTATACCAAAAAGTGATCGATCAAAGAATTCATTACAGCAAACTTGCACACATGCTATAATTATTTATTGTCACCAATTGGGCTTTCATTCCATGATGTTCTTTTGAAATGATTACAAAAGTGAATTTTAATGGACAGTATTAATAACATGGTGGACGTCCAAAGCTACTGAATTCTAGTGGTACAAATGTATACCATGTCATCTTATAGTCTGATAATCTGCATGTAATATAAATTTGAGCCAAAGGGAGATGAGAACAAAAATCATATATGATGCACTTATTGCATTGTTGAGTATGAGAAAGTGATCTACATAATCTTCCTGAGATGAAGGAAGATGAGAGAGGAGGAGGAGGAGGAGGGGATGGAGAAGTAGGAGATAGGATGAGCAGTGGAGTGACAGAAGAGCTGAGTGATAGTATAGCAGGGGAGATGATACAGAGCAGAGGAAAGGAAGCTGTTTCAAAACCATGTACAGGTAGTCATTTTTATTTCCTTTTTAATGCTTGTGGAAATGTGGACACCTAAAATGATGCACCTGTGTGCTTATGCTTTTCAATCAGAAAACTTCATAATCTTTTGGTACTCTTTAGTCCTTGAAACCCATACTGACAAACATTGTGTAGAATTGTTTAAAATGTTGCATGTCTTCTCATTGAAGATGAACAGATTTCAGTAGAACAGTTGGATTTTTGTTGAAGCTAGTGTGTACTGTTTTGATATGATTGCATCAGAGGCAGAGCAAAACTCACCAGCTCTTATGCTATGGTCACATTACCCAAAAGTAGCCTGCTCGGCGGCCCGAGCGGCGAGTTTTTAACCAATTCTGCCCGTCGGCTGCCCGGCCACCGAGCGGCGGCCGCCCAGGCACCGCTCGTTTTTAGGGCATCGCTCGGTCGCCGCTGAAGTTTTAGCACGGAGTTAAAATTTGGGCGGCGCCTGCTCATTTTTCACTCGCTGCCCAAAATACGCTCGGTGCCTGGGCGGCCGCCGCCCGGGCACTGGCCTAAGTGCTAGGCGATGCTTAATTCCAGCAGCGACCGAGCAGACTACTGATCGGTCGGTCGCTGCTCTGATTTGTGACCATAGCTTTACATGTTGGTCATATAGGCCTGAACTAGTAGTAAGACAAAATATTTTCTGTTAAGGTTATATAAGCAGTCTTTTATACTAGTTATCACAAGTATGCTCATACATATTTTCTTTATGTGCACTAATACAGAAGTAACATTTCCTGACTTGGAAGCATGGAAACGCCTTGAATTAAAAAAAAATTATATGAATTTATATCAGTTGTATTAGATGTTAACAAATTTTCTGGTATTTGTGCGTGTATTTTCTTTTGTTTTGAGCAGCTAAAGAAAGACCCTACTCCTGCAGAAGTACAACATCCTTGAAAGATGAAATAGAACAACTGTCCAACAAGAAGAAGGAGTTGCTCATGAAAGATAAAGGTAAACCAACTTCATGTCTTGTTTTGTTTTGTTTTTGGGGGGCGGGGGGGGGGGGGGGGCACCCCCTCCCATAGTCTTTCCCTGCTCTGTTACTGTATTTCATCTCAAAGCAGATTCCTAATTTGGTCCTTGAATTTTGGCTGTTTTGTCCTTGGAATGTCTTTATCATCTTTCACCTTCAGAAATATTACTGTGATGAGCTGCTTGTATGTTAGATGCTCTGATTCCTGGGTATTGAATAATCATTATTTACATCATTGTGATAAAGTAGTAAACATACACATGACTTTTATTCAAATCTCCTTTTATCTTGTTCCTCCCTGCTATGTTCTGTTGTCATCAACTACTGATGCCTTTGCAAATTGTAAACTGTAGATGGCGCTGTTGAGATATCTGTCCCTTTTCATCATTGTATACCAATCTTCTTCTTTCTTTTTTTTTTGGGGGGGGGGGGTGAGGTGGTTTCACTGATTTCAATTGTGAGTCTAATTTTCTCAGGCTTTTTATGTACCAATTCTTTTTTTTTTAGAACAGGTTGTACCCCTCTGTCTTTCTTTTCTCAATTTTGTATAACATAAAATTATTGAGTTTGTAGTTATATTAAGGTCATCCAAGCTAGTTAACAAATCTTTTCTATTGTCTCAGTTACAATATGATTAAAATCACTTTAAATCAGTCTTGCAGTGCATAATATGCTCTATTCCATACATATAGGAGAGCACAACTGGCATATATAGCTGTCTATTTACTCCAGGCACTCAGTCTCATTGTCCTTGGAAATGCATATAATTTGGCCCAGAAATAATAATAATAATAGTGTAAACTAATATAGATCGCATACACCGTCCAGGGACGCTCATGGCGTAAGCCCAGCAGCAGTTCTTATACCATCAGGCTACTAGAGTTTAAAGAAGTTTGATGAATGTGACAGTGTATACCTTAGCCATTATATCTATCCCTTCACATTCTTCTGCCTTGGTTTAGGAATGGTCCAGGGCTGGTCTAATCCAACATTGAATCCATTTTATCTCTACTGCTAATCTCTTTCCAAACAGAATGTATACACTGAACAGTCACAGCTCACACAATTTAAGAATCGAAACCTCTTTTCTTCCCTTAACCTCTATTCTTTCCATGACCTGTTCTAATATTGACACTTACTTGACTGACCATCAATGTGGCTTCTGTCTCCTCTGAAACATTGTATCATTCTCTAGATCCAGAAGGTAAACATTACTTGTAGACATGTCAACAGTGGCTTGACTTGCAGTGTTCGTGTAGAAGGGGGGTTGAGAGTTTTGAAACAAACAGTTGCGGTTATGTTACGACCAGAAGGAGATCTGCAAAGGAAGATGATGTCTTTGGTTTTATAACTGTTGAAATGTGTGACCGATTTCAGCATTGATGGACGTTCATGTAGTTTGTGCAGTTATCTGTTTTGTGACATCGGCCTGTCCTGGAAGGATTCTGTATGAATCCCTTATTGTTCAAGTACTTCTAGACGTGTTCTTTAATCTTGTTTTCATTGCTTTGAGTTTGAATCCAGAGTGACTTGATCATCATATATGTTCAGTGAAGTCTTTTGCGAAGGAGTGCAGTTTGTGATGAAATAGCTACAATATTACCTGTGGGTATAATGTGTTTGTTGTGCTAGCTAGGTCTGTAATATATCTTGATAGGACATACATTTACATGGACCTTTAACATTTGATGGACCCGATACCATCAACATCATCAGGAAACACCTCTCTCAACTTTGCAGTTGGCCGCCTTCTAGATTGTCGGAGTAATATATTTGCCTTGCATCTGATTTTAATGCTGTCAGTGTTGTTTTGGTTTCTTCTTCTTCTTCTTCCGGTTAAGTACAGACCGGCGTTGGCGTATTATAGTACTTGTGCTTGTCGAGTGCCCAGATGAATAGTGCAAGTAAAAATCTCACTACACGTTGATACTATGTGGGGCTAAAAAACAGAACATTTGTTGCACCCCCTGCTTGAAGATCACTATTAAAGGACGTGCTGTTGACTATACTCGGTGGGAGGGAGTTAATTCCATAGTCTGATCGCATCAGGATATTGTTGTGAATTATCAAGGGGATTACAGTGTACAACTACAAGATGGAATAATTATTCTTCAAACTATTGCAGTATCTTGTATCTGTTAGATACAACTTTTTGTCATCAGATATATGACTGAATACAATATTTGAGACTTCACAGCTGAGCAAAACAGATCTTCCAAATAGATTTCCGCAGCACACCAGCTACAGTCAAACCTGCTTTAGTAACCACCTGTCTACAAGGACCACATTTTTTGTTTCCCTTGAAAATGGTTTCTCATTGAAACATGTACTAAAGGAACCTGTCTACAAAGACCACTTTTTGTGTTTCCTTTGGGCGGTCGCTGTAGACCGGATTGACTGTAGTTCCTTGATCAGGTTGTTCCAGAACTGATACAGCTGATACAGCTGATATGGCTGCTGACCATACATGCAGTAACTTCCACTCTTGGGATGAATTTGTCACCATTATAGGAGACCTTTCCAGTAAGTTTGATGAACACTGCCACAAAGCTATGTTCGCAATTTGAATGAAAATGGTCTCAATACCAGAAGGTGGATGTTTGCAGGACTTTACGCCCATATTTTTGCATAGAGGGTCCAGGTTGCAGTTTTTAGTTTAAATTTCAATCTTTTGTGAAGGCCTCTGCAAGTGTCAAGCTTTTTTGTTTGATGTCTGTGGAATGAAGTTAAATTGTTTTCTGTTGTGATTTGAATTGATTTATTTGATTTTTAAAGAGTTGAATTTCACACTAGAATTATTTAACCCTCCAAAGGTAGTGCTTAGTACACAAACAACCTGGTTCCTTTGGCAAAGAGTTGATAAAAGCTTCGCAAATGTTCAGACAATTTTACTTGATGTCGATTTACAATACTCTGTGTTAAATTTTCCTCATTTTGTGACTTTTATTTGACTGTGTGATCATATCAATAATCCTTTGTGTGGTTTGTTTATGATTCAGAACCAGTTGTATGGAAGCAGAACATCCAGGAGCAGATTGAGAAGGAGTTGGAGAGGAGAGTCAGAGATGCTCTGGAGACTCCGCCCCTGGAGAGGATGAGGAAAAATAAACATAAAGCTCGTCTCAGAAAACAGCAGCAGAAGAAGAAAGAAGAAGAGAAAAAGTGATATATACATGTATATTGTTTTGTGTTCAAATCTTCCTTATTGAAGGAAGCTGGCTAAAAATATAAATATATTCTTCTATTATAAAGAGGTGGCCATGGTGCTAGAACAAACTGAATTAATCATTGTAATCCTGGCTAAAAGATTGACTCACAAACAATTAGTTTGGGTAAAAACTTAAAACTTAGGGAAAAATAGGAAGAATGGGGAAAATCTGGATTGGACTTCACATTTCCATTTCAAAATAATTGATTTTTCATGTACCCCTTTAAAGTTGCAATTATTTTATTATGCACTATATGTTGGAATTGTTTGTTTGTTTCATTTTTATGCAAAGTTTTCTTGTGATAAGCAAAGAAAAGGCCAACACTGTACAAATTGTGCATCTGGAACTATCCCTTAAGTGTTCAGTAGGGTTTTTGCTCAATATCTCCTGAAAAATACTGTATTGTATTGTATTATTTATTTGGCACTTTCAAGAAATATAACAATAAAACAATATAATCATGGTAATTACAAAATTAGAATGACAAAAACTATGCAAATACAAAGTTTTGTAGCAATATTCTGAGTGCAAAAGATGGCGGCCAGGGAAGAAGAGAGCAAACTTAATCACTGTTAATGTAAAGGTCCCTCCGCCCAACCAACTGATGCACTCAGAAGACTGATTAAAGATAGCATAAGGACAAATAAGAGAGTAACAAATCAAGGATAAACAATAAGAAAATAAAGAAAGGCGAGGCACAAGCAAATGTAACGCCAAAATAGTAATCAAGTACACATTATATATGGGTTGTTTTACAATCAGGGTACACAATAGAAAAAGTCACTTTGATGGTCGTTTGAACAAAAACATGAACAGCCAAGGAAAATTTTCCTTGGTCAACTATTCGGCATCATTAGAACCTACAACAGCAAAGAAATTGTTTGAAACTACTTTTCAAAATATGTAATTATATGCCATTTTTTCGCATAATTTTCACTTTCTCAGTTCATTTTTTGCAACACTGTTTTGTTTCTGCAGATCCCTGTCCCTAGAGGAGTGTGATAGCCATGCCCAAGCCTTGCCATCTCTCAAAGAGAAATTCCCCTGGAACGACGTCAACTCCCCCTTCACCTACTTCGACGACCCCAACAGCCCCACGTGGTTCGAACGCCAGATCTACAACAACCAGTACAACGACTGCGGCAGCGAAAGCAGCGCCGGGTACCTGGATGTCAACGGCAACCACAGGACTCAAGAGGAGAGAGATGCATCGTCTCGTAATTCGGCAAGGCCTCGAACTCGAAGTGCGGGTGTCGCGCTGACCAGAGAAAGGCAAAGAATCGCGGATGATAAAGGTGGGGATACAGACGCGGAAGAGGATAGAACTATTGCGGAGATTAGACGGAAGACCTTCCATCGCTTCACGAGCGCAGGGTTCAAGGAAGCGATGAGGAAAGGCAAAGGGATGCTCAAGAAGATTGGAGACGGAAAGTATGTGGATAAGAACGGAGTGATTCTTTCAGTGGATGGCCCTTTCTGGCCTCAGGAGTGCGGACCTCTGTACCCCAAACCTGACCACATCAAGAAGGTACCGTCTTCTGCAGAACCCCTCTTTGATAAGGGTAAGAATTACTTGATATTGTTATATTTTCTGTGTCTGTGTGCATGTGTTTGTGTTCTTGTCTTTATCTGTGAACAGTGTACGTGTCTTTAAAATGCTTTTATATTTTTACTGGTTTGTGTTTCTGTGTTTGTTCTTTGTCTGTACACAAAACACAAATAGAATAGAAAGTAGATGTAGACTTTGTCATACATACATGTACAGATCTTTTCTTCAGTATATGTACATGTACGTTGTGACCTTGGATGCTCGTTTTGAGGAGAATTTGAGAATCTTTTTTATAAAACCCATTTAATATTAGCAGAGAAATCTGTTTTTTTATCAACTTTTTTTTCAGTTACTAAGCAATTAGGAGATGGAAAGGTATATTTGTGAAGATGACCAATGTTTTGTTTCAAGACAAGGATGTAATGATCAGCGGTCTGAGATACAGAATAGGAGTACATGTACTGGACTGCAGAAAGGGGCTCGATGCCATCAGAATATTAAAGACTGCAGACGAGATGTTACTTGCAAATTCTTGGAAAAGGAAAGACCCCTTTTCTCAGAGTGACAGACAAATGAGACAATGGTTGATTATTAAATGTAAAGAAAGGTTTATTGAAGAAGGTGATTCAGTGACACGTTAAACCTACACTTCCAGATGGCCTCATTGGATAAATTTCAACTATTTAGTAGCTAAAGTACAAAGTTGATCCTATCCAAATAATACTCAATTCCAAGATTTTTTTTTGTTTTATGGCCTTCTCTGGAAATATTTGTGGTTGAGAGAATACACTTGCTGAATTTTGGTTTTCGTGATCCACTCGGTATTGGAACAAAAATAAGTGGTAATTTATTTAACATTATTTTAACATTCCAAAAAGATAAATGTCAATAATATTTCTGGCAATGGCATTCTCAACATTTTCTGAGAAATTTGTATTTTACCAGTGGTTTTTTGATCATGAGCATTGTTCAGAACTTTCCCCTATATACAGTAGCCTTTGAGAACACTAGATAATACATGTTAGATGTGTGTTGGAATATGTGTGGAAAAACTAAGACATATTGGGCATGTTTAGTTATTGATGTACCACTGCACACATTCTCACATTTGGCATCACAGATAAACCCTGAAGAATGTATGGTAAATTGTCAACAGATGGCAGCATTGTAAATATGGTTTAGGACACAGTGAAAATATTCTGATACAAATGACTTATGTCATAAACACTACTGTGTTACAAAGAACAAAAATTAACAAAAACAACAAAATAGAAATTTATAATTATATCTTGGCTTTCTTCGTCACATACATGTGTCTTCTTAAATTAAAATTCACCCAACTGTGCAACTGAACCCCAGACCCAGTGTAATGGATTAGTCCTATGTGAAGTAGCTTGACAAAAAAGTCTTGAAGTGGTGTTTGCAAACACAGAAATTTGTGTTTTACAAGGTTTTTAAACACACACAAAAAACAAATGAATGTACTTTAATATTGCACTATATTAGGCATGGCCTCAATACATGTAGCAGTAATAACTTTGGCATATATATTTCACATGTACATCATTCTCAAACATAACTGGCAGAAAAACCCTGTATTGTCTTGGGGTGTTAAAATCACATCACAAGTGCTTGGCCGGGGCTTCTTTAAAGTAACCTAATGTCCAGAAGCCTCTGACAAGGCGGCTTGACTGAAGAAGAAACGAGAAGTGTTAGAATGGTGTCAGTTTTAGTTTAGAATCTGACGCATCAAGAAGTCATCTGACCAAGCAAACATATATTTTTCTAAGGATTCCCATTCAGTACTTTTGTAAGAGATTCAGCATAACAACTTTTTACTCAGAGCTTTCCCTCAATAACAGAAGGAAGTATACAGATGATTACATGTACATTTCGTGCTTTAGAAGTTCTTCACTGTCACTCTGACTTAATTGTTGCATTTTCCCAATATATGTGATATGCAGTAACACCTGGACGATAGTTCATTTAATATTCCTCTTAAGAAATATGCATTCAACCTTTTCAGTGCACTTCAGAAAATGTGTTTCACTGAATTTGATTACAATAGTCTCTTTTTTCATCAAACAAAATAAAGTTTTTGATTTACACAATTACAGGTCATCTTGATATTACAAACACATGGAACGGATGCTTCATCAGCCCAAAAGATGTTGAATAATTATTGATTGAATATACAGGTAGTCATTTTGTAGTGTATAAGTTGGTCAGTTATCCTGAAAGGTACTTTTTCTTGAAGTTGACAGTACTTGAATGAACCTCTATACAAAAAGTAGCCCTATTCATGAGAAGTGGCTCATACAGTGTATCAAAGCCCACAACTGTTGCGGAGGCAGGCCCCCTATTGTTCAGGAGGGCGCAACGAATAGCAATGGAACTTCATTCATGGTCCGCCTACCGCGAAGCAGAGATGCCTGGTAATGGTATGAGTGGCCCAAGAAGGGAAGGACTGGATTAAGAAGTTCATTTGTAGTAGGACCATTGTGTAAGGTCTCATCACGAGAGTTAGCTGTATGGACAAGGAATTATCATGGATAACTCACTGGTATGGAGTAGTATCAGAGGAGGATTAGAAGTACATGTGCGTGTATGTGTCTGAGCTCATCTTTTGTTGCCTGGATCCATTTCTGAAAAGCTGGAAAGCTCTCCTCTGATAATCTTGTAGATGGCAGCTATCTAAGCTAACAGTGAATGTATTTTGCAGGTATTTAATTGGAGTTTGAAGCTATCAGAAACTGTGTCTCAAGTGATGAACCTCTTTAGCTCTCATGAGGAGGGATGAATTTATGCTTGTGTGCTTAAATAATACTGTATTTGCATCAGTGGCAAACCGAGAGGGGGTATTAGCTCTTTCTTGGGAATGCCTTCTATGTCAGCCAATTCTTTTATGGGAAAGTTTTAAAGGATTTAGCATTTCAATAAGTAGTTGTAAAGCTAGTGGCACTATAGCAATACTTGTACAATGCAAGCTGCTAACAATATGAATATAATTTACAATATTGGAGGCTGAATTTTGTTTTCTTCAAAACCATACGTTTTTTTAAAGGTACAGTCAAACCTGTCTAGCAACCGCCCAAGGGAAACATGCAAAGTGGCCTTTGTAGACAGGTTCCTTTAGTACATGTTTTAGTGAGAAACAATTTTCAAGGGAAACAAAAAATGTGGTCTTTGTAGACAGGGGGGCACTAAAACAGGTTTGACTGTATAACAAAAAACTTATATTATTGTTTCTTTGCACATGTATAGAAAGCAAATATGGACCCAAGGACCATTAGGAAAGTACAGTTTATTTCACATATAAATATCGTCGCTGTTTTTCACGAAGTGACGGTAGTGAAAAAAAATTGCATTCACTTTGCGTTACGATTTTCCTCACTACCGTCACTTTGTGAAAATAGGGACGATATATACAAGGTTGTGGTATATTACTTGAATTTTATGTAGAAATGGACTGAATTTCTAATTTCTTGATGCATGTACAGTGTATTTCAAGCATCATTAGATACTTTAAACCTTTGTTTTGAATTAATTTGAAGAAAGGATTTACATTTATATATAATATCAAATGAACTAACCTAGAATTGAAAGAATAGAACTTCATAGCAGAAACTAAACATGATACAAGTAGGAAAATAAGATATGGAGTCATTAAACAATTGTAGTTCACTTTTGTTGAAGACGCAATTTCAAGCTTTGGGAAAATGTCCCGAGTGGAAATTTGTAATAATAATAATTGATTGCTAAAAACAGAAGTTGATAATGTTTCTGGAACAGAATTTCCTTCAAAGCTGCATTTTCTCAAAGACATACATTTACAAATGTACCTTGTTTTATAACATGTGCACAGAATACTAAGAGACTGTTTGCTGTTAGAACATATCTTCTATTCTTTGTTGCCTCAATTTTGTTTGTCAAATGCTCCTTGAGTATGTCTATAAAACTATCAAAGAGAGCGATATCGGGACAGATACTGTATGTAGAGAAGAATACTGGGGTCTATTGAAAGAACTTCCATTGATTGTGAAATGTGCCTTTCATCTTGAGATATAATCAATCTCTTCTTTTCTTATGTAGCGCCCACACCCCGAGGGAGGGGGCATACCTATTAAAGGAAGACAAAATAAGAAAGGTGTTGACTAGGATGCATGGCAAAACAAAGTCTTTATTACTTAATCTTCTACAATAACAGTCTTTTCTTACAATAACATATATACGATCAAATGGCATAATACTCTTCAAGTATTAAACACAAATAAATCTACCTGTTCGCATACATTGAATTCATTAGCTCTCCGTGTTCTCTTACTATATCACTAAGAACATCATCTGGTTAGTTTCATTACTTTACTATCTCTAAACGAAACTATCCTTACTTCCATGCTTTATGTAAAAGTGCAACTCTTCATCGATCTCATAATCATAACTTGGCTACTAATAAATAACTTAACCCTTATCAAATGTCTATAACATTGCGGTATCAGTCAATCTACTTTAGCTTCTAATCATATAACTCTTCACTTAGCGTCTCTTTCAAGAAATCACATATATAGACCTAATACAAGAATGTTGGCATAATCATCCCTATACTATTGCCTAATAAGCTTTCTACTCTTTACGCTCCAAGACTGAGGATCCACTGTGCACATAGACCCTTAGAATGTAATTCTACTCTCAGCCTTCACTAATCCCTAAATTCACAAGTTACTTCTTGTCTCAGGACTTCACATTAATACTGAATAAACTTATAACTCTTCCTTAACTATAGCTCATGTATTTTCCAATAGTCATCTGCATCACTTTGATCTAATACTATCTTTTTCAGCGAGATTGCTGAGCTTGAAAAGATACATCTTCAACAACTTATAACTCCTTACAATATTCACAGCACTGGCAAATAGTCTTAGTCTGCAGTCTGTACTAATAGCTCTAACAAACTTACAACCAATATTACAAATTCCTCTTACTGTATAATCTCATCTTCACATACAGTTCATA